GCTCAGCACGAGGGCGACGGGCTCCATCTACGCGTCTTCCAAGGTAAGTTGAGCTACAGACGAGGAAGCCAATGAGTTCAAAGCTAGGGTTCCACTTGGCTAAGTAAGTATGACGGAAGTAAGGGCTGGCTATAATCTGAAGCCACCTCTTGGACACCAAAATCAGCTTGTAGATTGTTTCTGGTGGGAGCAGGAGAAGAATCTCACACATAGTATCATTACTGTTAAGAACCTCATGAGCACTCAAAGCAGAAGTCATCCCCAAACTGGTTTTTAACCTGCCAGAACAAGACATTGCAGACACTGTTTCTTTGATCATCAGTAAGAGAAATCCAACACAATCAAAACAAACACACAGAATCAAAAGAAAAGTAAAAAAGACCAACAAGCTACAACGAAACTCAAATCAATTTTCAAGAATCCTGGAGAAAACAAGCCCCAAAAAGTAGTGGATTTCTTCTACAGATCACAATGCAACGGCTCAGGAGAGAACTCAATAACCAAAAATCTCGAAAGAGAATCTAACAAAACGCATGAAAATTTACAAAAGATGTTATTTTGGCTTTACCCACGAGGAACAAGAACAAAAGTCGGAGAATTTGGCAGAAATTTCTGAAACCCTAGGCTTCAAAGTTACGATTTTTAAGAACAGGAAACGATTACAGAGCGAGAATCGACACTTAGATAGAAACAAATACTTCGCATTACGTCAAGAAATCGGAAGAAACAAGAGCTAAAAGAGGGAGAGAGAAGAACCTTTGATGACGACGAACGCTGAAACCACAGACAAGGATACACAAACGTTTTCTTCACAGGACAAAAGTATATAATGCCTACCCGGGCCCGGATCTGAATCCCGGTCCGGATCCGAACAAAGCACTTTCTGCAAACCGGATTTAGTTTGCGATTGAACCGGATTCAGTTTCTGATTGGTTTTAAGAACAATTTGAATTTGGTTCGGATTGATGGAAATCCCAGAATTCTGATTGGATGAATTCCATTAATTTTGATGTATTTATTTTTATGTTTGGTACGATTTCGTTTGGTTTAGCTCAATTTGTAGAAAGTTATAGGGTTATCCTACAATAAAATTGAACCGGTTAGGTTTGTGTTATTTATTTACTTTTTAACTTTTTCTGAACACTCTCTGGTTTCATTGACGGACAAGATTTAAAGGATAAATCGAACGGTCAAGATTAAAAATATGTGGGTTAAAATTGAGTCACGAAGATTTTTTCTTATTTTTGAGAAACGACGAAGATTTTTTTCCCAAATTGTGTGTTTTCTATATTTTAGGTTCGAGATTAAATTCTGAAAAATATTGTTCCTTTTTTTTTTGTGACAAGAAAATAATAGTTTATTTTGGTCTATGAATATATTTTCTCACTTTTGTGAATGCAATTTAGGAATTTGAGGCTGCAGTTAGGTATGCATTTAAAATACGATTGTCTAGTATATAGAAATTGAACTTACGTTTATATGATCTTCTAAAGTAAAAAATGTGGTACAACATACATGAAAAGCAATAAAATCTAAGGGTGTATATAGTAGAGATTTACTTAAAAGAAAATTTCTATTAAATAACTGTAAGATCTGTTACAAATAATAAAAATTGAGGAGAGACTTAGAAAAACACACTCCTAAAACACCTAAGGCCTTATACACTTGATCTGTGAAAGAATCTGATAGTTCAAGAAATTAGACATGAATCTATAAGCCATTTGAGTCAAGTGCACTCCGTCCCAACTTATGAACTTGTTTGGATTCTGACACACCGGCACTCCCGCTCCTCCGCATGTCCTCTTCCCGTCGTAGTTGTAAGCTCCACCGATCCCGCAACACGATTTCAAAGCTACACTCTTGTCGAATCTTTCACTGCGTAGTATGTATTGAAACGCGTTGTAGTAATCTCCGTAGACTATAGCCACACCTGGAAACTCTTTTCTCAAAGAAGCTATAGCTTCTTGGAGTTGGTTATTGTGATCCATTGCGAATTCGTTGAGATGCTTCAAGCAACCTTTGTCGTCGTAAGATTTTGGATCTTTCACGGGAAAAGACGTCAAGTAAATCGGAAAACATCCCACTGGAAAGTTTCCCGGGACGACCACGTTCACCGCACCAGCACGGATTACTTCTCTAGCCGCGGCTGTGATGGCACCAACCACATGAGGGATGTAGCTTCTGATTTCTTCCATGGGTTTGCCTTGGAAGAAACCGTAGTTGTAGTCGTTGCCTCCTATCTCACCGACCATGAAGAGAGACTGCTTCAAGCAATCCGAAGACGAGCCATGACACGTGGAACGTAGATGAGACTTGAACCAAGCGAGCTGAGTGGAGAGAGGAGTGTTTGTTTCCGGAACGTGGAGACCTCTTGCTGCGAAGAAAGAGCTGTTGAGTGCTGTGCTTCCGGAAACGGCGAAGTTAACACCGTTCTTGAAAGAAGAAGACGTTGTGTTCCCGTTGAGGTAAGGGTTTAAGAGTGGGAGATGAAGCCTGCGTGCCAAGTAATCGATCATTAGCTGACCGTTGGAGAGACGACCGGTGGCTCGGTGGAAGTATGTTTGACCGTATGGATAATTAGCGGCGTGAGATCTGGCTCCAACAGGGCCATTACGGATTAAGTTTCCGGTGTCGGCTATGGAGTCACCGAATTGGTAGATGGAGTTGATCGGACATTGATCCGATGCATGAACAAGGGACACGAAAAGTAAAAACACAAGAAACGATAATACTTTGGTCGTACACATTGTTAGAGAAGGTTGAGAGATTTTTTTTTTGTGTTCGTTGGTTTTAATTAGACGAGAAGGATGAGAGATTTGTTGCTTGTGTTGTGTGTGTGTATATATAGAGAGAGTGAGACGCGTTTTTGTTTTCCTTTTTTTTTAAGTCGGCTTTGGATTTTTCCTTTTTTTCCGGTCCAATTTTCTTAATATTTAGTTAGAATTTCCATTTTTGAGGTCTAATCTCGTAGTTAGTTTGTGAATTAGATGTATTCAATAATAATTATTGATAGTGATAAATCAAAAGAGAATATCGAATGAGAGATTTGAAAAAATCCAAACAGAAAAAAATATATATACCATGCACACATTCAACTAAATTCAGTTACATACGGATATAGTTTAGCTATCTATAAAGTTTTTAAAAGTGTCATTATTCAACATCATAGACACAAATTAATTAATTATTTCCAAACATTCAAATCTTATGGAATTGAAATTAAAGAGTATCCAAATCAAAATAAAGTCTGTGTGGCAAAAAGGAAATTGAAGATTAATGCACAATCGTTGCATCGATTTTTGTGCCATTCTCTCTCTCCTGAAGACGATTTCCGGTTCTAGATCTAGGTTTTTTCAGGTCAATTACTGGTCTTAACGACGGTGGAGGTCTCTCGAAGGTGGCCCAGGAGTGAGTCTTTGTGCTTCTCCGTCAACAGAGGTGTGGTGCTTCCCCGTTGATGTGGTTGTGGCTCTAGAATGGCGGAGGAGGAGCCCCGATGCAGTGCGCTCTCGGTTGAGGACGCTGGGAGTTGTGTCGATGCTCCTCAGGCTCGACCGTCGGACTGGAAGCTGCGTCCACGGCGGAAGTTGGCGGGGATAAGGTGGGGCTGTTGTTTTGATAGGTGGCTAGCGGTGGATCCATAGGATCTACGATGGCTGATGCGGGGGTCGGATTTAGAGGTAATGGGCGAGCCACCGTCCTTTAGATCTGCCGCGTTGGGTGAGCCGACTGTCCGGATCGAGGCATGAAGACTCTGGGGCTTCGGAGCTTTCCGGCGAAGGAAGAGAGAGGATAACTCCAAGTGTGACAGGTTGCTAGGTCGGGATCTGTTACCGTCGAACCGTTCGTCGGAGTGGCTAACTTTCTGGGAGGCTTGTGGTGGACTGGTTCGTCGGAAGAGCGAGAAAGCTGTCGGAAACCGGAATCTTCCACCGGTTTTCTCAATCCTCTGACGCGGCTATGAAGTTGTGGGCCTTGATTCGACCAGATCTAAGGTTTGGTCACTCTGCGGACGATGATCAACAAGAGTCGAGTCTTTTTACTTTTTCCGGCGAGTCTCCGGTGTACCTGTTTTGTTACTGGGTTTCAATTTGTTGTAGGCCAAGGCCCAAGCCCATTTGGGTTGATTTAAAAAAAAAAAAAAAAAAAAAAAAAAAAAAAAAAAAAAAAAAAAAAAAAAAAAAAAAAAAAAAGTCTGTGTGGCCATTGAATTTTGACCGACTCGATTTTACTTAGGTTAATTAAATGAATGCAAGAGTGAGAAAGCGATTTAATAAGGCCACCACGTAGGCTCTTTCCAGAAACATTCATCGAAAGATATTATTCGTTATGAAGAAAAAAAACATTATTATTTAGAATCAACTAGAATCAGGCAAAACGAGCAACGTATCCCAATTTCCGTTTGTTAAAAAAAAAGGAAAAATATCATTTTTTTGCCTAAAACGAAAAGGAAATAAACATTAAAACGCTTTATTTAACTTTTATTTTCACCTGAAAATTTCGAAATTAAGAATGAAAAAGGAAATTTCTTGAGAAGCGAAAGTTGTTTGTTCTTGATTTTTCTTCAACCATCTTCTTATAAATTCTCTGTTTCGTTGCAGAGAGCTCAAAAAGAAACACCTTTGTCTCTGAAGTTTCTCTATTTTTCTCGTCGAAATTAGGGATTTTGTTCATTAAATCTGCCTGATTTGGAAGGTATTTTCATTGTCTTCTTCAAAAAATTCAATCTTTGTCGGGTCATTATGAGTAATTGGAGAAGACAAAAACCCAGAAACAACAACTATAATAATTATAATCATCAACGTGGGACGACGACGATGACGCAATCAACATCGAAGCCACCTCTTGGTATCATCTCTGCTCTGTTCTCTCTGTTTTTTTTTTGTCTCACTTTTAATTTCTTGAATCTGTGATTTTGAGTTCTTGAATTATGTAATCGTCGCTTGAGAATATTTCCGCAAATCGAGTTCCTTTTGATGGGTTTCTCATAAACGAAACTGGGTTTTCCTCTGTGTGTCCTTAATTAGGGTTTTGTGTTTGTTACGTAATTTCGGTTTTTAATCTCATCTATGTATTTAGGTTAGTGAAATTTAGATAATTTGTAATATTAATTGACTTCATCTTTGTTAGGTTTGTGAGGTTATGAACTTTGATTAACTTGGTTTATGACCTTTTCAATCAAATTGGTTTGGAGATGTTTGATTCTTAATACTCTGATTATGGACCAGTATATTGTTTGTAACTTTTTCTTGATCTATAAGTTATTCTTTACTTAAATTTTGCATGTGATCAGAGTTTTTAACCCTCGGATTCTTATGTTTTTATGCAGCTAATAGCAAGCTCTCTGTTCCGGCGTGGGAGAAGGATTTCTGTGCTGTGATTGGTTCTGTTCCATGGTGGAAAGTTGTAGAGGCGAAGCGGTTTATGCACATATATGATAGAGTGGTCCAGTGGGACGACTCAGCGGGGGAAGACGCATTCAAGAACGCTAAATCCCGGTTCTGGGCACAGATAAATGGTCTTACTTGTGACTTATCTTTACCTAATCCTGATGTCTACATTGATGATGTTGATTGGGATGCTGAAGTTGACACCGAGCTGATACTTGACCTTGAACGTGGTCCAGACCCGATAACAGAAGAACAGGAGCATGTCGTGATACTCGATGCTTTGGTCTTGTCTGGACAATATAGCGGGCTTGGTTGGGGAACGGGTTGGGGAGACGCTGAAGGGATTAACGAGGAGAATTTTGGAACGGGTAAACCAGAAAACTCATGGGATAATCAGAAATGTGATGGATGGAATGAAGATTCTTGGGGAATAAAGGAGAAAACTGATTCTTGGGATCATAACAACAACAACTTCAATACCGAATCTTGGGATCAGAAGAAGTGCAACAACAACAGCTTCAACCACAAGAAGGTTGAGAATTGGAATGGTAGGGATCAAGGAAGAGAGAGCAGAGGGTGGAGAAAGAGAGGAGAAGTTCAACATGGAGGAGATCGAGTAGAGGATTGTCGATGGAGGAATGGGAGAGGGAGAAGCAGAGGCGGGTTTCAGCAGCATTCGTCGAATGCTTGGGGTTGGACTGAATCCTTCTGAATTAGACAGAGAGAGTCTCTGTTGATAAAACATTTTTGAGGAAAGAGCTGTAGTATAGTAGGTTAACTATATAGTGTGGTGTGGTGTGGTGTGTGTGTGTGTGTAGAAGTTTAGAATCATATTGATGGCTCAAAATTATTTTGTTTAAATGTTTCAGAGGATCTTATTACTTAAATGATATGCGCATATAAGTTTCTGGGTGATTTTTGAATTTAGAATCTGAATATACAACTTGTTAATGATAGAGTTCAATTCTTGTATATATACAAAACGCTTGGAGGGTGATGATCGGGAAAATGTACGAGTTTCTTTCATGCCTCTGGCTCGAGAGTTCCATTGTTCGTCATCTTCTTGAACCTTTGGAAAGAACAAGAAGCTTCTGCAGATTTCTCCAAAGAAATTCTCTGGTATTCCTACATTTTAAGAGATCTTGAGGAAGTTGTTCTGAAACACCATTGGATAACAAACTTTTTATTACCAAGAATCTAAATCACAAGAATAAAAAGATCAATACTCTTCTAAAATTCCAATCAATAGATAATTAAGTGAAAAGAGAAGGAAAACAGAAAAAAGTTTTGCTAAGTTTAAGAGAAGAGACACGAATTAAGCTTAAGATAACACCTAATATGTGAATTTCAAACATGATATGATGGATCCATGAAAAACTAACTCTATAAATTTAGTAAAAATAGAAAGAATTTTTGAGACATAGATACGCACGTGTGTCTGTGAAGCATGAAGAACATTCTTAGGGCATCGTTTGAAGATGTCCTTCACCATTAGAGCGGAGATGAAAACTGAGAAGAGCAATGTTATGTCTTTTGTGGGTTTAGAACACAAAAATCATTGTTGTTTGATTCTCTCTTTCCCCATATTGAAAGTGCCAGTGTTTTATCTGTTTGGTGGTGACAAGAGAGTGTTAGTCTATGATGTGGAGATATAAATAGGGGCAATATTCGATATTGGTGACCTGAAGAGACAAGTAAGGTGTATATACATTGTTATGCTAAGAACAATTGCTTCTTCTCTGTCTAAAAATAATAATGAAGCTATAATGCTAATGGATAATTAGAAAGTGATAGTAGAGACAAAATAAAAATTAGAAAGTGATATTAAAAATACTAAAATAGGTTATTATTCAAATGCTCTTATTATAAATTATGTATTGTACAATTCTAGTGTTTTTATATTATTTTGAAGTTAACCAATATCCTTATAGCTTAGTGTGTTTTTGTCACTAGTCTATATGATCTTTATGCTTTGAAAGTGGGTGGTAAAATCGTTTGTTTGATTTCTTCGATTGATTATTTAGAATATCTATCTATGATCAACAACAAGTGAATGTTGAATACTCTAGTTGATAAAAATGTAATAATATGAAAATGAGCAAGGCTAGCAGATGAAAAGTAACATTCATTTAAATCTCTAACCCTACTTAATTAGTCCTTACCAGCCTCCGAATTAGTAATCGAATGGGACGAGAAAACTAATAATGTAATGGTGGTTGCCAATAAAAGGGTCATCGAATAATATCCAAGTAGCTGAGTGCCAGCTATGATTAGCCACTTTGAATGAAATAATATTTTATAAAAGGTCTAAATTTTTTTTAAAAAAGGAGAGAAAATGCAAGTCTTAGTTCATAAAAGTTAGAACAAGACAATGGATGATATATGAGCTAAAAAGCAATTGTGGAGTCTCTTCAACTTGAGCCACTTATTGAATTATGATGATTCCATTTTTCTCTCTCTCATTGGTTTTAATTTGTCCCACTAGCTATTGGTCTTGACGTAATTGCCACATTATGATAATTCTGATTTATAGATTATTGATGTATATTTGGTAGTCTCCATAATACATCCCCCTTATATCATCCATATGATTTATAGACAAAGAAATGGCAGTTTCCACAAAGAAGATATAGTAGTGTGTATGATAATCATTTTTATGGTTGAACATCTGTGCCCTACATTTTCAAGTGACTAACCAAGAGGCTATTGAGTTTTATTTGTATATATAACAAGTAAACCTTATTATATATTTGATCAATTATAGTTTCTTATACAAGAACATGTGTATATGTTCACTTAAACAAGTGTTGTTAATAGAAACAATTTGAGAGGATTTATTTCAAAACTTAAATCTAAAAATTCCTTAAAAAACGTTTTGCTATAAAGCAGAACAAGAAAACAGAGCAAATCAGAGAACATCTCCAAGTCCCGGATAGGAAACCTTGAAACATTTAGATTAATCTTGACAGAATTAAAAACTTTCTGAAAATGTAGCAACTAAACTAGAGAGTTCTCTACCTTGAAATATTCCAGCCTTAGCCCACCATCAAACACAACAATTGAACTCACAAAACCCAAAAAGAACTATAAAAGCAAGATTTACTCTTTAGGATAGCCAAGACCCGGTCTTTGAACCTCCGGTTGCGCTTCTTCATAGTCACGTGCCGAGCGGAGTGATTCCTCAAAGTCAGTGGAGTCACTCGCCACGGGAAGGAAGCTTCCAATGTCGTCCTTAGCACCAAGTCCTCCAGCTCTTATCACATCTTCTGCTGATATAGAAGCTTCCATGTTCACTTCACCACGAGGCTGATCTCTATTATCTTGAGTCATGTCATTCTCATTAATAACACCGTGAATTTGCCTCTCTTCGGTCTTGGATCCTCCCGGAGATATTACCCTTGGCTCTTTTACTTTACCTGCACCTATCTCGGAATGATTTAGAGTCTGAAAATCCGAACAAAGCTATGTTGTGTTATTTGTGTACGTATATGTATAATCCAAGGCTACGAGAAATCGTAACTTATTGACTTATTGTCTAGCTGAAGACATACGTGACTTGTTAAGACAGATCATAACCCAAATATACAAATCCATCTACAAAGAAAGTATTGTCATGTAATCTAAAATCAGAACATGTGATGTTATATATCAAAACAAGTCTTTCTTCCTTGAGCAACACTTGATATGCTCAAAAGTGGAAGAATTATCAAAAAAAAAGAAAAAAAAAAAAGTGGAAGAAGTTGTACCATCTGACACCGAAGTTTGCTCCATTTAATAACTAAATTTGATTCTCCGAGAATCTAGGAACTATCACGAAAAATCATACATGAATGAGTTTACACATACAGAGATTAGAGTAAATGATCACAAAAAAGGTAAACCATGCCCCCAAATCTATCTCCATTAGATCACGAGTCGAAATAACAATTTTGGTTTTCCTCAATCGCAGACCATAGTCAGAGATAAGAAGATCAAATATAAAACTTAAGCAAAGATGTTTAAAGATCGCTTACCCTAATACAGACAGGTAGAGAAGAAGAACAAATATGTTTCTATCTTTTTTGGGGAAAGTTTTTGGGATGAAGAGACTCTGTATGATGTGGCGTCTCCGTGGCTGTAACTGTTACACGTGTTCCCAGTACGATCGTTTAGTCTTGATGACGTAGTTTCAACTTCGTGAAACTAAAACGGATGATAATCTTCTAATTATTATCTAAATATCCCCAAAATCACCAATTTAGAAAATCTTATGATTTATTAATCGTTAGCAAATAATTCAACAAACGCGTTCGTTTCTTTCTATTTTTTTGTGTTAGCAAATTTCTTATAGAATAAAAAACCTAATTATATATTTGAAATTTGTATCGGAAAAGCCCTAATTAATTCAAAGATTCAGATCGAAAGTCGCTTCACTGTAAAACTTCAACCAGCAAAACAAAAAGATAATTCATTAGAAAAGTTGTTGACAGAATGAATATTCATTGAATAAAAAAAGAAAAAGAGAATATACATTGGAAATTTCTAGGTTACTTCTTTAACAAAAAAAAATATCTAGGTTACTTGCTCAACAATCTAGACTCAAAACTTTTAGTCGATAAGAAAACATTGGAGATATCTCAAGACATCGTCAACAAACAGAGATTTCCAGTTGCGTGAATCTGCTATCGCGAATACGACTTTATCAAGAACCTCTTCATTAAAACTTGGCTTGACTTCACCCACCAGGTTGCTGCCGTCACAGTAGCGATTCTTTGTCGCCGGAAGTTCATCGGTGAACCATCCAATCTTAGAATCTAGTGACTTTATAACAGTATCCGATATTAGAAACATTCTCTCATAATTCCTTAACACGACGTTCCACGACATGCTCACGTCTTTCATATCGGCGGTGAATCCCGAGTCGCTGACATCAGCTTCGATTTGGAACCGCTCGTGCGAGCCAAACACAAGATCCTTCCCCTGTTTCACAACCACTGCTTCCTTTGATCCAGCTGACACGTGGACAATGAAAACAAGATCGGAGAGAGAGATCTTTGGCTCAGCGGGTTGGTTGTTGCGGCGGCGTTTTGCTGCAGATTCAGCTTCAGAGATTAGGCGCTTGTACGATAACCAGGCTGGTTTAGTTCCCTCCTTGGTGATGGCTTTATAGAATATAGAATCACGTGTGGCTGGTAGAAGCTTCCATAGATCTTCCGAGGAGAAGCACTTCGACCACGTGGTGGAGACGCAAGAGGCTACGGCTAGAGACTCAGGGTCCATGTAAGGACCAACAAGGCAGAGAATCTCCCAAGATGGTGGAGATGGTTTGGTATGTTCGTGCTCGTCGTCTCCTTTGTGCATAGTCATGAGTACGAGTTTCTCTTCAGTGATCTCATCGTTGCGTTTTCGCTTCAGAGGGTTTTGTTTCATGGCTGCGAGAGACGACACAGAGGACACGTATGTGGACATGTGGAAGTTGTTTGATTGTCTAACACTTGTTTTGTTTTTTGAAAGTTTGGAACTGAGCCTCTACGTATTTATAGCGGTATTAAGATGTTGTTAGGAAACGCGTAAAAACAAACGCGGTATTACGATATCTAGATCTGTTTTCATGTATATCAAGTTATCAACACATGAAAAAAAAAAAAAAAAAAAAAAAAAAGTTATCAACACACGAGCTGAAAAATATATTTGGAATAATTATAATTGCACAATCTTTTAATGTGAAGAAAAAAAATTGAATTCGTTGATCACAACAACACAAATGACAACTATCTCAGCTCTAATATCACACTGAAGTATACTCTGTTGTTTTATATCTTGTATATCAAAAAGGTTGGAGAACTCTGTAATTGAATCCATTTAAATCAAAATAATGAATCAATGCAAGAACAAAAGATAAAGAAACACATGACAAGATTTGCAAGAGCAAATAAAATGTCTTTAGCTATCTTCCAGTTCTTGTTCTTCATGGTTCTTTGTTTTCTGAAGCTGCAAAAGCTGTATAAAAATTATCATCAAACAATGGATAAACTAAGTAAAGAGTATCGTATTATGATGCGTTGTTTACCTTATGAACTGAAAACTTTGTAATAAGACATATTGCTTTGTCTCAGTTCCCTGTAGCCGAAAGTGTCTCAAACGCTTGCACCAATAACTGAACTTTAAGTTTCCGAGCTGGTGTTAGCTTCGAAACCACTCCTTGAAGCGCGTTATCGACCATCCATTCGTCACCATTTTTCTTGTTTTGAGTTTCTTGATGCCTTAGATTCACTTTTTCCGCTCCTACTTCGGGGTTCGGAGGCAAGAACCGAGGCTCTCTCGGGTTGAATTTCCTTACATTCTCTAAGGCTTTGACGAATCTCCTGAGTAAAATCGCTCTTTTCAGGTTGCTCCATCGGTCAATCCTCACTTTTGAGACCTGTAAAGTTTCACTCTTCTGCCTTGTTTCTCCTTGGATTAGGTTCTGATCTTGACTCTCTTCAAGAGAAATTCCATCTATGACTTCTCCTAATAGCTCCACTGCTTCGGTTTGGTAAAGTTCCATCTTTTCACCATCCACATTTGTATCTTCTTTCAGTTCTTCTTCTTCTTCTTTTCTTGTTTCTTCAGGCAATGGTTGGTTTTTCTCGTTGTCTTCCATCTGTTTGCATAATATCCGCCACAAGCTCGAGCACTGTTGTTTCTCTTCCAAATCATTGGCTACATTATCAAGTTTTGTACTCTCTTTGAGATTCTCTTGTAGATTTCTCAGTTTTCCTCTGATGATCTCAGCATTAGCTTCATTTTCACTATGGACCGCCATAGAAGAAATGCTGGATTGACGAGAGATGTTCCTGGACGATGTTGCTGACCCCGGGGTTGAACCACTCCCCATATCTTGTAAGCTTATAGTGTCGAAAGCTTGTGCAAGAAGAGAGACTTTTCTTTTCTGAGACGGTGCTAATGTCGATATGGCTTGTCGTAGAGCATAATCGAGCATCCATTCCTCTGAATTCCTCTTCCCTCCAATTTCCTGATGCCTCAAACGAATCTTTTCGGTTTCTGGATCGGGTTCCCATGGCAAAACATGAGGAGTCTTGGGACTGAGTCTTGTCAGACTTCCTAAATCACTAACAAATCGCTTTAGAAGAATGACTTTCTTCACATTGTTCCATCCCTTCACTCTTTTCTCATTAGACTTTGGTTTGAAAATGATTTCCCTAGCTGAAGAAACAGGCTCTTCACTGACTTGAGAGTTTCTTTCAAATAGTTCTTGATCCGTAGTTATATCACTGTCCATAGACTGATCATCAGATGAGTTATCCGGAATTTCAGAGAGAATTTTCTCAAGCGCTTCTCTAACAAGTGTAACTGTTCCGCTTCTTCTCGCATCAATCTGAAGACCACCAGCCTCATCATCACATTCACCTTCAACTGAAGTCACTGATTCACCATTTGCAGAACCATTTCCTTCTTTCTCTGTTACCATGTGTTTATAGATGAGCTTCCACATTCTCGAATCTTTCTCTTTCTCAACCACGATTCGCTGTTTAACATTTCTGATTGGAGGCAACTTTCTGGATTCCTTCGGTGTAGAAACAACCTCCTCTTCTCCTTTCAGGTCTTTTTGATGTACCTGAAATCTTGCAAAGACATTTTTAATCTTCTGCTCATCTTTGTTGACTTCATAATCTTCCTCTACTCTCGGTTTTTCTTCTTCGCTAGTTTCATCATTGTTCCGGGGAGTATCACTGGTCTTGGTTTCTTTAGGAGTATCATGGCCATCAAGGACTATATCAAAGGCTTGAACAAGGAGGTCTACCTTCTTTCTCTGTATAGGAGCCAATCTTGATATAGCTTGTCTCAAAGCATAATCCAGCATCAGTTCCTCTCCATCTGTTCTTCTTCCCTCCATTAATGATCGGTGTCTCAGTAATACATTTTCTGCCTCAAATGCAGATTCAACAGGAAGACTACGCATCTTTCTCGGATTAGAAACCTGTACCTTTTCCAAGCTTTTCACAAATCTTTTTAGAAGTATAACTTTTCTCAGGCTGTTCCAGCTCTTCTTGGTCTCTCCTTGATCTTCTTTCCCCTCTTTAAGAGAGTTAGATGATTCCGAAACAATCTCTTCGTCGGACGATGAGTCAGGTATCTCTGAGAGAATCGTTTCAAATGCTAGCTGAATCGATTTAACAGCTGCAGCATTAGCATCATCAATACCTGCCATCTGATCAGTTCCATAGGACCACTTGTGTTCTTGATCAGTTTCATCACGATTTCCCTCGCTGTTGTTTCTCATGACCATGTGCTTCTGTATAAGGTTCCTCCATGTAGAAAGATTTTGCTTTTCAGAATCTCCTTTCTTCTCTTCTTCTTCTATAAATGAACCCGAAGCCAACCCACCTACTTCTTCTTCCACAGCAAGATGATTACATAAACTTGCAGCTTCTATTGATTCCAAAGCTTCATCAGATTTCATATCAATAGACAGAGATGATGATGCTTCACTAGTTATGTTTGTTTCTTCAAGATCCTTTGCTGGTAAAACTTCCTGTATATCAGTAGAGTCTTCATTGTCTCTCAAGATCGTCGGTGAGTTCATTGTTTCGTTCTCTTCTCTTCCGGGACTTTCAAGATCATCATGACCTTTAGAGCCCCCATCCATTGGGATTAAACTTTCAAAAGCTTTAACAAGATGTTTCACTTTCTTTTTCTGCAACGGAGCAAGTGTCGAAATGACTTGCCTAAGTGCATGATCAAGCATCCATTCTTCTGCATTCTTCCTCTCCCCAACCAACTCTCTTCTCAACCGCATTATTGTTTCACTCTCTTTGCCATCAGACAACTTACGCCTTTCTTTCCGGTCCAACGACTTGAGAAATCTCTTGAGAAGAATTACTCTTTTCAAATAACTCCACTTCTTGGGACCTCTCTGATGATCATATTCTTCTCTCATATGAAAAGTAGAAGCAATCACAGACAGATGTGTATCTCTACCTATAATAGGCTGCATATCCGAGCTATTTGAATCACTCGAATCCGCTCCTACATCTTCTTTTTCCAATCCACCCTCTAAAGGTTCATCCTTTGTAATAGAAATATCATCAGACGAGTCATCATCGGTGATTTCCGCAAGTATCTCATCAAACGCTTGCTTAACGAGTGTTACAGTTTCATTCCATACATTTTCGGTTTTCTTTCCATCCTCTTCTCTCATTTCTCCAGAGGAACCTTCTCTGCAAACATCTTCATTATCTCCCACAGTTTCCTCACTCTTTGTTCCCTCGACCTTCACCTTCCCATCATCATGACCGAGACCCGTCACAGTTTGCTCACAAATAGCGTGCCATAGTGTGGCGTTTTTCTTCATATCTTTGTCAATTGTGCCATCTGAATCATCCACAGTCTCCGGTTTAGATTCCTGAACCTCTAATGCAACAGTCTCCATTGAATCCATTCCTCTATCCGCATTATCATCAACATCTACCATTACTGTCTCACTAGATCTTCCAATCGATTCCTTATCATTTCCACCATTCTCCGAGCTGGAAACCTCTTCTTCAAACACATCTTGATCAGAATCTCCATCTACATTATCATCCACCTCCTTTGATTCTTGATCAGTCACAACCCGACCGCCTAAAGGCCCTCTCTTTCTACTCAAAGTCCGCTTCAATAACACCAAACGCCGGTTCACACTCTTCTGCCTATTCAAAAACTTCCTCCTCATAGACACAAACCGCTTCAAAGACGGAACATTGTTATCCGCAGCGTGGCTATGACGCCTACCGTGCAGAGAACAATACCTATAAGTACAAACATCATTACTCTTCTTAGAAGAAGAACCTTTCATAGCTGAAGAACATGTAGCTTTAAGCAAACCATTGTATCTCAAGCTTGCAATTCTCTTCAACCTAGCTACTCCAAGATTCTTCTGATCATTTTCGACATTCTTTGAAGCAGAAGAGCTCGTTGGTCTCAAGTAATGAGGCTGTAACAATCCAAAATCTTCCCTATCAAGATTCTTTTTCCTTAGAATATGTCTCGAATTTGAAGTTAAACGCTTTATAGATCTCATCTTCTTCAATCTCTGACCTCCTCCATATAATGTCCTCGTTGACTGTCTCCTAAGAACCTTCATGCTTGAAATTCGAGAAATACTCTTCGATTTCGCTCGTCTCTTCACCGATCTTGACCTTTCCTGAAACCAAAACTCAACAATTAATGTTTATTCCCAGATCTCTTGATTCTATTACATCTAATGAACTCTTGATTCCGACAAAAACAGAGAGAAATGAAGAAAGAAAAACAGAACAGATGTGAGACTTGCCTGGTCAATCTCCTCATTCTCATCAGATGATTTCGAGTAAGTTCTTGAATCATCAGACATATCAGAAGACGATGAATCTTCCGACTCGGCAGTGTAGCCGGAGAAGATGGCCGGAATCTGATCAACAGTGAAGTCGGAACCGGAGAAACCGAAACTGGGAAATCTAGAAATCTTGATGGGTTTCTTCCACATCTTCCTCTCTCTCCTTTTAGAAATTCTTCTGCTGCTTTTACTTGTTGAGCTCTCCCATTTCTCCGGGAACATCGGACTTGACATTCTCTGTTTACTCTAAAGTTTCGAGCTTTTTTTTTTTGGTAAAAAGTTTCGAGCTTTTTGATTGATTGTCACCGCAAATCTCTCTGTTTTTTTTTTTCTCTTTTTTCAAAGACAGAGATGACCAAAAATTCACAGAATTATTGCATTATGCTTCTCTTCTCTGTGCTCGTCAAAGATCGGAACTTTTTATTCGTTTTATTTGATTCGTGTTTGAACACTCTTCGAAGATGAGAAAGTCGCCGAAACTGAATTTCAATTTTTTTACGCTGTAGTTGAATTTTATAGCACCTTTTCGTGTGTTGATTATTATTATTTCGCTTTCTTACTTTTCCTCGATACAAATTATATAAATGTGATGACGTCAAATTTCATTTTTAATACACAGTTAAAAAATCATTTGACCTGGTTTAAAAAAAACATTAAATATACAAAAAGCATAATTATAGATTCAATTCCATCCTAATCAGTTTTGTATATTATAAATTTTAAATAAGTACAAATATTTAGGAAATTTAATTTTACAATAAATAAAAGTAGTTTGTAACTTAACTAAGTATTTATGTCAATTCTTTAATTAAACGTTTGCGTTTATATATAAGACATTATCAGTTTTTGTTGGTATAAATAAATTTGAAAAGAAAGAGCGTTTAGACTAAGAAAATTTGAATGACATTGATGATATAGTGAGGCACAAAATATCTGTCTCTAATAATTTCAGGCTTAATAGACATATTAATTGGGGTTGGAGAATTAATTGAACAGGGAATAAATATAATGTGGTTGTTAGTTCGATAATAATAATTCATTGTGGAAAAAATCAGGAGATATTTCAATTAAGAGACACAAGAAGCACATATAGTTGAATTAATACATGTGAGAGGATACTTAAACAGTAATCAGTGAGAATGTGAGATGTGTTATGAGCTAGTCGTGTTTTACTTTAAAAAATGTTCCAAAAAGTTTAGGTTATATATAGCTTTGACTGAATCATCGTAATCAAGCTTTTCATTGTCAATGTAGAGAAATCATAATCTAAATGATGGATCTAGTAAAAGCAGGCCCATCAAGTTAGTAAAAGATGTAATAAAGTTAAATAAATAAGAACGCGTTAATGTGGGACCCTATTTAAACATGTGTTTGATGACACCTCTACCACGTGATTTCAAATCCCTCTGAAATCACTGTCTAAATTTGTAGAAATAAGAAATATGGACACAAATGCAAAAAAATAAATAATCAAATTTGCAAAGCTCACTCACATTACATATGAACCATTACCACACTAAAAGTTTAAAGAGATACAAGATGATAAACTCGATAAGCGGTACAGTTTTACCATTGCAGTTGAATACATGCATGATCCATGAACAGAAATTTTAGAGAACTGTCAACTGTGTCGATCGGTATATAGTTTTTTTTTTAGGGTTTAGGCTTTTGATATTCTTGAAAATGAGTACATCTAAACACTAACAAATCTAGATATCGTATTCATATTTTGAAGTCTAAGTTTTGATTTACAAGATATTTGCGTGGATAGATAGATATATTGAGACTTGAGAGAGTAAGAAAAACACTAATATAGAAATATGTTACTGAACAACGAAATGTGGCATAAAAAAACTTATCATCTACTCAAATATGACAAGGAAAAGCTCTCAAACAATATGGTTATCGAAACTCTTAACTAGCATAATATATAGATGCTTAAAAATGACATAAAAACATAATAACGTATCAAGAGTCTTCACATTAAACATCTCGAGTTACGCTTTTAAGCTACGTGGACGTGGTGGTGTAGAATGTTCATGAGGAATAGGTGCTGGACCACCTCTTCGAGTTTTTGGAGTCGGGTTCCAAGACCCATAATCCTCGTGAAATACTTCTTCCCAAATTGTTGTATCTCTCTTTGCTGAATCTTGCTTCACCGGAAAATTTCCTCCGGTCACGGATGCGACAACCATGAGGATAAGAAGAAACCTTACCTGGTTTATACGAGGCGCCATGACTCGTACGTGGTTCATTCAACTAGGGCATCTCACCTTCACTAGAATATTTATAAGTTTTTTTTTTTGGAAAATGTTGTGTCGTCATTGAAGTAGAGTATATTCATTAATGGTAGTAGTTTGAACGAGTATTTTTTTTTTTGTTTTTTAATATTCTCCTTGGTCCTTTCAAGAAGAATACTATACTGTAAACACCTTGAATAGTAAGTAAGTAGAATATGGTTGGATCATCCAAGTTTCGTTTATGACTTTTTTACATTTACAAGATTTCAGTTTTCCAAGTTTTGAAAAAGTTAATTTCCAAGATTTTGGGCACAAATTTTCAAGTATAGTAGTAGTACCCTAATAGAAAGAGAGGTCTAAATTTGGAGTTACAATATGATTACCTGGAAAGAACAATCTTTCATATGTACAAGTAACAAATACCAATCGCTGATTGAACATTTTGTCATTTTGTTCTATGCGTTTGGAGAAAGGATAAAACAAAACGCAGCGTTTATAATGAACAGTGTGATGATAACGTAAATTTTGAGACTACATGTTGTTTAGACTTTTGAGATGAAAACATTATGATGTTTTTGAAATCCACGTGGGAATTGCGTAAAATCTTATCCAACGACCTTATTTTTGTTGTTTTTTTGTCTAAGTCACGTAAATCGAAAAAAGAAAAGGAAAAAAGAAGCCGTCATGATCGGCCATTTCTCGGCCGAGTCTGAGTCTGACTCTGCGTCCGTGTCACCATTATCAGATCGAACCTGTCTTATCTCGTCGCGATTCCCTATGCAAAAATCTTCTTTTTAAAATTCCTCCATTTATTTACTTGTTTTTTCTGATCTCTTCTCTCTTCCCAAGTAAACCTCTCTGCTTCACGTCTCTTCTTTGCTTGCGATTTTCCTCTGACCTACGCAAGTCCCAGAATCAGGTAAATTTGGCTACTTTCTTTCTAATTTGATCTGCTTTTCAATTACGGTCTTTGTAACGAATCTCTGGGTTTTCTCTGTCGGATTCAAATTTCTCTTTTTTTGTTTACTAAATTCGAGTACATGATCTTGTCAAAAGTCTCCTCTTTTCATCGAATTGAAACTCTAATTAGAAAAAAAGATCATTCTTTCTTATAAAAATGAGTTTGCTTTGCTTAATATTGAGAATTGCTTCATAGATTCATTGATTAGCCTAATTTGGGGTAACAAAAAAAAGCTGACACGGTTTCAGATTCCAAAAATAGATCATGACTCTGTTTCTTCTCTGTAGAGGTTTTAATAAATATGTGCTTCTTCTCATTGAGTTCTCGTTTTTTGTTTTGTTACCTTTGCAGTTGAAAACACACACAAAATCATCTTCGAATCAATGGATATAAGTAATGAGGCTAGTGTTGATCCCTTTTCGATTGGACCATCATCTATCATGGGTCGAACCATTGCTTTCAGAGTCTTGTTCTGTAGATCAATGTCACAGCTTAGGCGTGATCTCTTTCGGTTCTTGTTGCATTGGTTTCTTAGATTTAAGCTGACCGTATCACCGTTTGTGTCGTGGTTTCATCCCCGGAACCCTCAAGGGATTTTAGCAGTGGTTACAATCATTGCTTTCGTGTTGAAACGTTACACGAATGTGAAAATAAAGGCGGAAATGGCTTACAGGAGGAAATTCTGGAGGAACATGATGCGGACGGCTTTGACTTATGAGGAATGGGCTCATGCTGCTAAGATGCTTGAAAAGGAGACACCAAAGATGAATGAATCTGACCTCTATGATGAAGAATTGGTTAAGAACAAGCTTCAGGAGCTTCGTCATCGTCGCCAAGAAGGCTCACTTAGAGATATCATGTTTTGTATGAGAGCTGATCTCGTGAGGAATCTCGGTAATATGTGTAATTCGGAGCTTCATAAAGGTAGACTTCAGGTTCCTAGACATATCAAAGAGTATATAGACGAGGTCTCTACTCAATTGAGAATGGTTTGTAACTCGGACACGGAGGAGCTTGCTTTAGAAGAGAAGCTTTCCTTTATGCATGAAACACGGCACGCCTTTGGTAGAACGGCTTTGCTTTTGAGTGGTGGAGCTTCTCTTGGTGCGTTTCATGTTGGTGTGGTTAGGACTCTGGTTGAGCATAAGCTTTTACCTCGGATAATTGCTGGTTCTAGTGTTGGATCCATAATTTGTGCTGTTGTGGCCTCAAGATCTTGGCCAGAACTACAGAGTTTCTTTGAGAATTCTTTGCATTCTTTACAGTTCTTTGATCAGCTCGGAGGCGTTTTCTCAATCGTGAAACGGGTAATGACACAAGGCGCTCTACACGATATCAGACAGTTGCAATGTATGCTTAGAAACCTCACAAGTAATCTCACATTCCAAGAAGCTTATGACATGACAGGAAGGATTCTCGGGATCACCGTTTGCTCCCCAAGAAAGCATGAACCTCCTCGGTGTCTTAACTATTTGACTTCGCCTCATGTGGTTATATGGAGCGCAGTGACTGCATCTTGTGCTTTTCCTGGTCTCTTTGAAGCTCAAGAACTAATGGCTAAAGATCGAAGTGGAGAAATTGTACCGTATCATCCACCTTTCAATTTGGATCCAGAAGTAGGCACTAATTCATCTGGACGCCGGTGGAGAGATGGTAGTTTGGAGGTTGATTTACCAATGATGCAGCTTAAAGAACTGTTTAATGTCAATCATTTTATTGTGAGCCAAGCCAATCCTCACATTGCTCCGTTACTGCGTTTAAAGGATTTAGTTCGAGCTTACGGTGGTAGATTCGCCGCTAAGGTATGTATTTCGCATAGTTGTCTTTGTTGGTCTCTGTTTCTTTTCTTTGTTCTAACTGCACTACTTATTTCGCCTTTTTTAGCTCGCACATCTAGTGGAGATGGAGGTCAAACATAGATGCAACCAGGTATTAGAGCTCGGTTTTCCGCTCGGTGGACTGGCAAAGCTTTTTGCGCAGGAGTGGGAAGGTGATGTAACAGTTGTAATGCCTGCTACTCTTGCTCAGGTTTTGATCCAAAACCCGAAATCTTGAATTTTCTTTTATTGGAATCAGAGATTTTGGAATTGCTTGGATTCTTATTGGGTTGTGGATTTTGTGTAGTACTCGAAGATTATACAAAACCCAACTCATGTCGAGCTTCAGAAAGCGGCAAACCAAGGAAGAAGATGCACTTGGGAGAAGCTCTCAGCCATAAAATCAAACTGTGGGATCGAGCTTGCACTTGATGATTCTGTAGCTATTCTTAACCATATGCGTAGGCTCAAGAAAAGCGCCGAGAGAGCCGCCACTGCCACGTCATCGTCTCATCACGGATTAGCATCAACCACCAGATTCAATGCTTCAAGAAGAATCCCATCTTGGAACGTCATTGCCAGAGAGAACTCAACTGGTTCACTGGATGACCTAGTCGCTGACAATAACCTCCACGCTTCTTCGGGCAGGAATTTAAGCGACAGTGAAACCGAGAGCGTGGAGTTGAGTTCTTGGACAAGAACTGGTGGACCTTTAATGAGAACAGAATCTGCTAATAAGTTCATTGATTTTGTTCAGAGTCTTGATATCGACATTGCATTGGTCAGAGGATTTAGTAGCAGTCCCAATTCTCCAGCAGTTCCTCCTGGTGGCTCGTTTACTCCAAGCCCGAGATCCATAGCGGCTCACTCCGAGAGCGAATCAAACAGCAATAGCAACAATCTTGGAACAAGCACTTCAAGCATAACAGTTACTGAAGGTGACCTTCTACAGCCGGAGAGAACGAGTAACGGGTTTGTGTTAAACGTCGTAAAAAGAGAGAACTTGGGAATGTCGTCAATTGGGAATCAAAATACAGAGTTACCGGAGAGTGTACAGCTCGATATACCGGAGAAGGAGATGGATAATAGCTCTGTATCAGAACATGAAGTAGACGAAGAAGATAACGACAATGAAGAAGAACATAACGGCTCGAGTCTGGTTACTGTTTCTTCAGAAGATTCCGGATTACAAGAACCGGTGTCTGGTAGTGTTATAGATGCTTAGAGTGATTGATTCAAGTGAATAGATTTTTAATTAAATTTGCAGAGTTTCCGAAGGGTTTGGTGCGCCACTTGTGTATTGTTTGAAATTCATTTGTGAAATCGAAATATATTTGTAAATTTCAAAAAAAATCTCTCATCCATCTACAAAATATTTTAGTTACAGAGAAATAAAAAAATTTAGTCAAAATCAAGATTATTTAAAAGCCATTCAATCTCTCTTCTTCTCCTTCATGATCGTTTTGTTAACTCCATCATGAAGTTCAACAAATTCAATCCTAAACGTTTCTTCCTATCCAAGAAACGATCCAAAGTCTCTCGACGCGAGCCGTCTTCTTTTCCCGGTGAAAGCAAAAACCTATCCGTCTCCGTCTCCGTACTTACATGTAGAGCCTCTCAAAGAGTTCAAGCTTATTGACAAAGACAACGACGACGGTGCCGTCTCGAGACACGATCTAGATGAATGTAGTCGTATGATAGTAGCGGTGGACGAAGACGGCGACGGATTCGTGAGCTTCAACGAGTTCTCTCGAATGATGGATCTTCAGTCGATCTAGCTACCAAAACTTTTAATCTTTTGCTCTTTTTTGCCCTACTTTTGGATTTTCTGGCGTTTGAAGTGTTTTCTCGAGAATTAGGGTTCTTTCCTAGTGATAATTTCTAACAAAATATGTGTTGAAATAAATAAAAAGGCATTGTAAATTTTCGTTTTTTTTCCTTGTGTATGTGTGTGTTAAGTGTTGAAAAATACCACAATTTGTATTGAATTTTTTTCTAAAATATTTTTTTTGAGAAGGAGATGTACGTAACGTAAGTACATGATTGGAAAATATATGAAAATTTTGAGGAAACGTAAGATATATTTGTTTTTTCTCACCATGTACAAAAATAACTTACATGTAGCAAATACTCGCAAAAGGCTGATAATGTAAAACTTTTATTTTTGGGCAGTGATAAGGTAAATCTTTAGTTTGAAAAAAATAGAAGAAGACTTTTTTTATAAATAGAAAAAAACAAATAGATTATAAGGTAAAATCTTTTTAAAAGAATCTTTTCGACAAGATAAGGTAATAAATCTAGTATTGAAAAAAAAAAATTTGACCAAGTCATAATGAATTGAAACATATAGAAACAAATCGACGCAATTTTAATTACATTAAATGTACAAAAGGAGACCCAAAACCCCCATATATATATAAGCCTGCAATCACCCAAAACAAAAACAAAAAATTGTAGAACATCAGAAAATTTTGATATAGAGAAATTCCATTATTATTCATCTGTGTGAGATGTAATATCAGTAATAATAATATAGATTTGTTAACCATTATACCTACGGAGAGTCTTTGTTGCTTTTAGTTTTTAGACACAAGTAATTTAAATAAATACATACTTTTACTTTACATATAGTCTCTCGAATGATGGATCTTCAATGATGATCAATCTTTACCAAATAGAGATTAATTAATGGCTTCGTATAATGATGTAGCATGAGATTGATACAAACCTGAGGATGCGAAAGTCCTCGAAGAAACCTTTGCAATTTGAGACAGATAGACTGATCGAGGAAGACGACTATGGGAGTGTGAGAGAGAGCCTAAATGCCTAATTGTTTTTATTGAAAACGAGAAGACATGCCCAATTTGTTTTCCGTTTTTGCTAAATGAAATTACGACAATCTGTGTTGAAAAAATGTCTTAAATATTTTTTTTGAGGAGACGTAAAATATATTTGTTTTTTCTTCACTATGTAAAAAAAAAAAACTTTGTTTCATGAAAAAAAAAACTTACATGTAGCAAAAGAAACATAAGAAGATAAGGGAAATCTTTTTAAAAATATTTTTCGCCAAGATAAGGTGATAATTATAGTATTGAGAAAAAGAAAATTAGAAAATTCAAAAATAAATAAGTTACCTGTTTTTTGTTATTTTTTTCTTTACTTAAGTTTGTTTTTCTTGAAAAAGTTCTTTATTTAGGTTAAGTTACCCGTTTAATAGGGAGACATATAGAAACAAATCGACGCAATTTTAATTGCTTTAATTACAAAAGAGACCCAAAACCCCCATATATAAACAAGCCTGCAATCACCCAATACAAAAATTGTTTCCGAAGAACATTGGAAATTTAGTAAGCAACAAATTAAAATGGACAAAGTAACAAGCATTTTCGTCGTTCTTCTCCTAATTTCTTCATGTAAGTTTCCAAATTTTGATCATTTCTTTTGAACTTGGTTGATCGACTGAAAACACACGTTTTAGGTGTTATATAATTTAATTATAGATACGTATATATCATATGCATGTTTCTTTAATCTAATTTGGCGTTCAATTGCAATATTCTATTCTAATGTAATTTTCTTGTATATGATTTAGTTTGGTTTGAAATTTGGTTCTGGTTTACATATATATACAGTCTGATTCTGAGGAGTGAAGGTCAGTTTCGATGTAAGAGTGTTGCGGATTGTGATACTCGTGATTGCAGAGTAGGGACACATGTAATATGTAATACACAGCACAAATGTAAATGTGCTCAAGGTTCTCCTATTGGTGGTCAGTGTTATACAGTCGAAGACTGTTACCGTTCTGGTTGTCCACCAAACTCTCATGTTATATGCGATACAATTAGAGGAAACTTCTGCACTTGTATCCCCAATTGATTTAAATGGTCTCTAATGATTTGAAGTAATTTTGATATAATGTCTTATACAGGAATAAAATTCTATTATAATTCATCTGTGTGAGATGTAATAACAATAATAATTATATATTTGTTAACCATTATATTCTTGGAAAGTCTTCCTTGTTTTTAGTTTTCAGACACAAGTATTGTATATTCTTGGGGTTTTTTTTTTTTTTTGTTGAAAAAGTTCTTTGATTAAGTTACCCTTTTCGTTGACCAAAAAAAAGTTACCCGTTTAAGGAGACTTTCATATTTGACTTATAATATTCATAGTCATGATGAATTGAAATATATAGAAACAAATTGATGCAATTTCAATTACATTAAATGCAGAAGGAGACCAAAAACCCCCTATACTGTATATTATAAACAAGCCATGCAATCACCCAAAAACAAAAACAATTGAAGAACATTGGAATATTAATAAGCAACAAATTCAAATGGAAAAAGTAACAAGCATTTTCGTTGTTCTTCTCCTAATTTCTTCGTGTAAGTTTTTCAAATTTTGGTAATTTCTTTTGCACTTGGTCGACTGAAAACACACGTTTTCAGTGTTATATAATTTAATTATAGATATATTATTATATGCATATTTTTTTAATCTATATTGGAGTTCAATTGCAATATTCTATTCTTATGTAAAAAAATTGATATGATTTAGTTTGGTTTGAAATTTGGTTCTAATTTACATATATATATATATATATAGGTCTGATTTTGAGAAGTGAAGGTAAATGTAAGAGTGTTGCAGAATGTGATCCGCGTCGTTGCAGAATTGCGCAGCATATAATATGTAATACACAACATGAATGTACATGTGCTCATGGCTCTCCTATTGGTGGTCAATGTGATAGACTCGAAGACTGTGACCTTTCTGGTTGTCCACCAAACTCTCATGTTATCTGCAATTTAACTGGAGCTGGAAGCGTCTGCACTTGTATCCCCAATTGATTAAAATGGTCTCTAATATTAAACCAAAATAAAAATATTGTCTCTAATGATTGGAGTAATTTTGACATAATGTCTTATAGAGGAAGAAAGTTCTATTATATTTCATCTATGTAAGATGTAATATCAGTAGTAATAATATAGATTTGTTAACCAGTATATTGTTGGAAAGTCTTCGTTGCTTTTGGTTTTTAGACACAAGAAATTTAATAAATATATACTTTTACTTTACATATAGTTCTCTCGAATGATGGATTTTCGGTGATGACCAATTTTTACCAATTTTGTTTTATATTTTCTTTTTTTTTTGCCATAATTTTAGATTTTCTCGTGTTGTGAGTATTTTCTCGAGAATTAGGATTCTTTCTTAGTGACTATGTCTATAATAAAATTTTTGCTAGTAAAATCTTCATTAATATGAAAATATATGTGAATAAAATGTCTAATTCAATCATGGATTTTGATAGAACTGGAAATCTAATACTAATCCGTTTTTATTCAATTAATGATTCTAAATCATGTTTTAAAATTTAGTATTATTGGATTTGATATTTATAAATCATGTTTAATAGATTTTAAAGTTTAATGTTATTCAACTAAGATTTTAAATCTCTATATTAAAATCTAATGTTATTCAAAACTAAAATACTTGTATTTTTTTTTGTATATTACATGAGTAAATTATGAAAATCAAAATGCAATATATTATGCACAGATTTCAAAAACCACCCAAATAGATTTTTAAAAAAGTATATTATAAAAAAAAAAATATTAAAGAAATGACTTTAAGTCTATGATTGAATAACACCCATTGATTTTTTTTACAGGAGAAGATGTACGTAATAAAATGCTTGGAAAATATACGACAATTTTGAGGAGATGTAAAAAATATTTGTTTTCACAATGTAAAAATAACTTACTTGTAGCAAATATTTCGCAAGGTTGAGATAATGTAAATCTTTTAATTTTGGGCAACAATAAGGTAAATCTTTAAAGGAAGAAGAAGAAGAAGATCATAAGGTAAATCTTTTTTTTTTTTAAATACTTTTGTCAAGATAAGGTCAAATGTAATTAAATCATTTCTACACAAACTCTTATTCTTATAGATCGAAAAACAACACAGTTTACTAAACGAAATATTAATAGATTACCACTTTATTTTTTGATCTTGGTTTTAAACAAAATCTGTCTCATTGAAAAGAACTCTCTAATTTATTTATAGTATCCCATTTATACATTAACTTAAAGGTTCCGGCTGCATTATTGCGTACATATATTCCATCTTCTTGCGCTTGCCAAAAACATACGTTAGGTTTCCTACCTCCACATATATCATGTATAAAACTTTCTTTCCCAAGAAATGCGTTAAACCTCACATGATGCACATAATTAGGTCCCTGAAAATATATACACAAGAGTAGCTTAAATATATAAAACTAGAAAATATCGTAGAAACATTGATAGATGCGTAAGTAAAAAATGTGTCAAAAGTCAAAGTAAAATCTGAAATTACCATCCATAAGTTGCACCATATCAAAGTTCTTGGGTAAACTATGAATTTGATTGTCCATACATCATTAACGGGAAGAAATTCAACTTTGGTTCCTTTATCTTTACCGGATCTACAATTGATCATAAGCTGTTTGTTACCTGCAAGATGATTCGAAATTTGGATGTTGTAATGCCTAAATGTAAGAATAGAGTCTATTTTGTGGATGGAGATGAAAAATAGAAAAAGGAAACATATAAGAGTTTTTCCCATCTTTGTTATTTTATATTTTTCTCATTACATGAGTATGTATTTATATACTTTTCACACACATGTATGTATATGCATAAGTAAACGCCATAATTGTTAATATATTTAACTTCATTCATTTTATTGTTTTCTTTTATACTCTTTCCGTTTTAAATTGAATGTCATTTTATAACGTAATAAGACTGTGTTATAGGATTAGATCAAAACATGTATACTACCAAAAAAAAAAAAAAAAGTCAAAATTCAGAAAAACATTTATTGTTTCACGTATTTTGGATTTCACTTGAGAACTCGGCCCACGAAATCAAAGCCCAAAATAAAGTAATCCATTTCTCTATTTTTGTTTTCTCCCTCTCTGCTCCTCCTCCGTCGCCGCCGGTGAATAATTCAGACGAACACTTTGCTGAACTTTGGCTATTCCATGGTTTTGCGGCTGAGAGTTCACTCTCTCTACAACCGTGGAATCTTCTTCCTTGTCTCTTCTTCCTTGAGGAATCTTAGTACGGCTTCTTCGCTTTTTTTGAACTCCGACCAAACCATCACTGAGCCATTGGTGAAATCAGAGCTCGAAGCCTTAGTTCTCAAGCAATACTCTCATGGTAAGTTCTACAGTCTCGTTAAAAACGCCGTTTCTTTGCCTTGTGTCCTTCTCACCGCCTGTCAGAATCTGTCTCTCTCCGCCAATTCGTCCGGCGAGTTAGCCGATCGCGTCTCCCGGAGGTTTTCGATCGAAGAAATGGGACGCGAGATACGTGAAGGTAGGTTTGATATTCGTTCATGTTGCGTCGAATTCGTCTCTTCAAGTGAAAAGTTAGTACGATGTGATGAATCTCTTGTTCTTCCCAATCTAAAACTCAAAGTGTTGATAGAAGCTATTAGAATGGTTCTTGAGATTGTGTATGATGATCGATTCGCTACGTTTTCGTATGGTGGACGTGTTGGTATGGGTAGGCATACAGCGATTCGTTACCTGAAAAACTCGGTGGAGAATCCACGGTGGTGGTTTCAAGTTTCGTTTGCTCGAGAAATGTTCGAAGAACGTAATGTGGATAAACTGTGTGGCTTTGTTGGAGAGAAGATCAACGATGTTTTGTTGATTGAGATTATAAAGAAGCTGTTTGAGTTTGGGATTTTGAAGATTGAACTTGGTGGATGTAATAGTGGAAGAGGTTTTCCACAAGAATGTGGATTGTGTTCGATCTTGATCAATGTTTACTTTGATGGACTTGACAAAGAGCTTCAAGATTTGAGGCTAAAGATGAAAGTTAAGAATCCTCGTGTTGGTACAGGAGACGGGGAATCAACAGGTAATGTTTTCTTTAAGGCAGTAAATATTTATGCAGTTAGGTATTTGGATGAGATACTTGTGATAACATCAGGCTCGAAAATGCTGACAATGGATTTGAAGAAGCGGATTGTAGACATTTTGGAAGAGAGATTAGAGCTGAGAGTAGATAGATTGAACACATCGATTCATAGTGCAGTGTCAGAGAAGATTAGTTTTTTAGGGATGTATCTTCAGGCTGTTCCACCTTCGGTTTTGCGCCCACCTAAGTCTGAGAAGGCGGTCAGAGCAATGAAGAAGTATCAGAGGCAGAAGGACGTTAGGAAGTTGGAGTTAAGAAATGCTAGGGAGAGGAATCGGAAGACACTGGGGCTGAAAATATTTAGACATGTCTTGAAGAAAATCAAGCAGAGCAACGGGTTCAAATTTGAAGGGGAGATAGAGAATGAGGTTAGGGATATTTTCCAGAGCTGGGGAGAGGAAGTTATGCAAGACGTTATGGGTTCCCTCGAAGAGCGCTGGAAATGGCATTGGCTGCTCACTAGAGGAGATTTTCTCTCTTTGAGACATATACGAGAGAAATTACCACAAGACCTGATTGATGCTTATGATGAATTTCAGGAGCAGGTGGACAAACATTTGGCTCCTACCCAAGCTAAAAAGGTACTAGAGGATGAGGAGAGGAGAGTAGAAGAAGAAGAGGAACATAGATATGCTGCAAGGACAGTTGAGGATTTGACTAAGTTATGCATGAAGGTGTCAGCTCCAGAGGAACTTGTCAGAAAGGCTATTAAGTTAGTTGGGTTCACAAACAACATGGGACGACCACGGCCTATCATTCACCTTGTGACTCTCGAGGATTCTGATATCATCAAATGGTATGCGGGTGTAGGGCGTAAATGGCTTGATTTCTTCTGCTGTTGCCACAATTATAAGATGGTCAAAATCATTGTAAGTTATCATATGAGGTTCTCATGTATTTTGACACTAGCAGAGAAGCACGGATCCACTAAACGTGAAGCTATTAGACACTACACGAAAGATCTCAGAGTATCAGATATTGACGGGAGTGAAGAGGCGCATTTTCCATCGGAAAGAGAGGTTAAGATGATGGGAGACAAGAACCTTTCAGACCCAAAACCTGTGGATGGCACACTGTCTTTGCTTTTGATCAGGCTCGCATCTGATGAGCCCTTGCATTCCTGTGCTGCTAGTTTTTGTGAACGATCAGATACAATTATGTACCGTGTACATCTACTGCAAAACCGTTTACGTATCAACCCACTAGACGAAGAGAAATGGGTTCCTGGCATGGGCACAATCCACTCAGCTTTGAATCGGAAATGTCTCCCTTTGTGTTCCACTCACATCAGTGATGTATACTTGGGCAAAATAACTCTTCAGGATGTTGATAGTAGTTCATTCATCGATCTCAGGTGATACCTGTTGCTATCTTCTCCAATTGGTTATATCATCTGCACGAGAGTAAGAAGTTCAAATGGCTATTGCTGAGATCAGGCGAAAGTGTATGCCACGTTTAAGAAAAAAAAGTGTGTATCACATAACAGATATGTCTTCAGTGTCGTTGACTGCGCAATGCAAATTGTTTAGGCGTTTCATGTTTGGTTCTCAGGGTCAGGAAACAAAGATTTGAGCATGAGTTACGCAGGAAGAGCTGCAAAATTTGATGAAACACAGTTGTTGATCATCTGTGACTGCATCCACCTGAGCTATCGGTTAAGGTATTGAACATGTTTGTGCCTTTATGATCCTCAGTATCAGACTCGACATTGTGATGGATGATGTTTTGTGGTTGAAAGGAAAAGATGAATATTTGTGGAATTGGCGGTTGGCAATTGACAGTTAAATAACTACCCACGACAGTTGGTGCTTAGCCTTTTCTTCGCATAATTTCGCAATCGTAAAATGTATCAATCTCACATTTAAGTATGTCTCTTATGGTACTAGTTATACAGTTAGAAGCTAAGTACTGTACCTAGAAGCTTAAAGGTAGGGTCGTAGGGAACATTTTGTATCATGTAAGAAGTGAGGTCAATAGTACTGTTCACTGGTTAAAGAAACTTGTGAGGACTTCTATTATAATTAAGAAAATGTAATAGGGACCAATATGCAAAAAGACACAAAAAATAAAGAATCGTCGCATGGATTACCGACGGAAAGAAGTGAGATCTTCTTCATCTTCGCTGTTGAGCTTTCTTCTGGTTCAGTCACTTCGATAGATTCACATGATTCTGAGAAAGCAAAGTATATAAAGCAAGAATCGAAGAGCGAGTGAGAGTAGAAGAAGAAGAAGAGCAATAAAGAAACCATGGGAGGTGGTTATGTGTTTGGTTCGGCCAGATCGGGGCAGACGATAATGGTGGCTCTGGTTCTAATGGTTGGATCATTTTACGCAGGCTCTATCTTCGGAAACAATTCACGTATTTACATTTCCCAACCTTCTTCTACTTCCAATTCTTCTTCTTCTTCTTCTCCATCACAATCTGGTTCGCTCTCTCTCCCTCTGTATTTCTTAAAGTCTTATCCTTTTTCTCTGTATATCGTTAAATGTCCATGCTTTGCTTGATTGTTGGCTTTCCGGAGCTAAATGGATTGAAACCCACTAGATTTATCTTCTACATCGAATTTAGCTCGCTAGTTTCTTCTTTTAGGTCTTCAGTTTCTGCTGGAATAGGACATGGATCGATAATGCAACAGTTTTGTGGTTTCAGGTCCATCAAATTTTGCTAACAAAATAGAGCTTACTTACCGGAGAACTTCTGTTTCGATCCCTGAGAGTGGGGTGAATGTTTGTCCATTGAAGTTCAATGAGTATAATCCTTGTCACAATGTCACTTATGTGCAACAGCTTCTCCCAAGCTTGAATCTTTCTAGAAGAGAAGAGCTTGAGAGACACTGTCCGCCACTTGAACAGCGTTTGTTTTGTTTGGTGCCTCCGCCAAAAGATTATAAGATACCAATCCGCTGGCCGACTAGCAGAGATTATGTATGGAGAAGCAATGTGAATCATACGCATCTTGCTGAAGTGAAAGGCGGCCAGAATTGGGTGCATGAACAAGGTCAATTATGGTGGTTCCCTGGTGGCGGTACTCATTTCAAACACGGAGCTCCAGAATACATCCAGAGGTATTTGAAATTTTCATTTGTTTGGTTTCTAGATTACTTTGGAATTCTATGCAGAAGAAGCTTAGACTGGGTTTCCCTGAATTTTTGTATGTAACTTCAGGTTAGGAAACATGACGACCAATGAAACAGGTGACCTTCATTCAGCTGGGGTTGAACAAGTTCTTGATGTGGGATGTGGAGTTGCTAGCTTTGCAGCTTATCTTCTTCCTTTAGGTATAAAGACAATGTCTTTTGCCCCTAAAGATGGTCATGAAAACCAAATTCAGTTTGCGTTGGAGAGAGGAATCGGCGCAATGATCTCTGCCATAGCCACCAAACAAATGCCCTATCCTGCGGCCTCGTTTGATATGGTTCACTGCTCAAGATGTCGTGTTGATTGGCATGAAAATGGTATGTCTCTTGTGTTCTTCATTCTGTTTCTCAATGCCTTGCTTGCTTTTGTATCTATTGGAACTAAAGACAGTCATTTGGGCTTGATTCTTCAGATGGTATCTTGATTAAAGAGGTTAATCGTCTTCTCCGACCCAATGGATACTTTGTTTATTCAGCACCACCTGCTTACAGAAAGGATAAAGATTTCCCCATGATTTGGGATAAGTTGGTCAATCTAACTACCGCAATGTGCTGGAAGCTCATTTCCCGAAAGGTACAGACTGCAATATGGGTTAAAGAAGATGACGAGGCTTGCCTTAGGAAGAATGCAGAGCTAGAGCTTATAACTATATGTGATGTAGAAGATGTTTCGAAAACTTCATGGAAAGTTCCTCTTAGAGACTGTGTGGACATTAGTGAAAATATACAAAAGAAACCCTCTTCTTTAACTGAACGTCTATCGTCATATCCAACAAGTCTAAGAGAAAAAGGTACATTTCTTCTATTCAATTCATCATAGAAACGAGATTATGTTCTGTCTGGTTCCTTTAATTCACTTGGGAAAACTTTCACCAGGCATCAGCGAAGATGAATTTACATTGGACACAAACTTCTGGACAGAACAAGTGAATCAGTACTGGGAGTTAATGAATGTTAATAAGACCGAAGTGCGAAATGTGATGGACACAAATGCATTCATTGGTGGATTTGCCGCAGCCATGAACTCATATCCCGTTTGGGTCATGAACGTTGTACCTGCTACGATGAACGATACCTTATCCGGAATTTATCAGAGGGGCTTAACTGGTGCTTATCATGATTGGTAAGCAAATATGATCACTTTCTCAAACTTTCATCGTTTCTCACTTAAGTTTAGCACCAGTAGTAAAACTTGTGCCTCATAGGTCTGAGCCATTCTCAACGTATCCCCGTACTTACGATCTGCTACATGCGGACCATCTCTTCGCTCACTATAAAATCCACAGTAAAGGTTGTTTACTAGAGGACATCATGCTTGAGATGGACCGCATTATACGCCCTCAGGTATTTTACAGTGCACTAACCTTATCGCCTTAAGGGTTTACTACCATTGAATCATAACCCATCTCACTGGAAATAACGTTTAATGCGGATTTTGGGGTTTGCAGGGATTCATCATTATCAGAGACGAGGAATCAATCATCTCAAGAGTCCGAGACTTGGCTCCTAAGTTCCTTTGGGAAGTTGAAACACATGAGCTTCAAGACAAATACAAGAAGACAGAAACTGTTCTATTTTGCAGAAAGATATTTTGGGCAATCGTTTGAAAATCTACTTGTGTAGAAATTCTTTTTTACTTGTCTTGGTTATTAAGAGAAAGAAATTACAGATTACTTTTGTAATGTTTGTTTATTGATTAACCGTACGTAATAGATGTCTCCTTGTACATGTTTTGTTTCGCCACACTCTCTCTCTCATAACCAAAACTAGAATTAGCCGGGAATGATGGGCCTTATTTGGAATTTTTCCTCCAAATGAAAACATTTTACATGATAAAAAATATACTCCGTAAATAAAAATCTGTTTACATAACAAAATTATTTTTAAAAACCAGATTTAAGTGTTAAGTTACATTACGCCACAATCGGTTGAACTAGGACCCGAAAGACGGGATGTTTATGTCAATCGGCCCAATTAAGTAAATTTGAACCGTATAAACCAGATCCTTAAACCGGATCCTATATTGAACATTTGAACTTGCGCTTTCTGAATTTTGTTAAGTGGGAATTATAATATTGTCGATGTGGGACAGACACAGTGAATATAAGAAAGTAATTTTTTTTGTCCCACATCGAACCATCTGCTAAAGCCCAGAGTGAGTTTGGTCTCTTCTTCGTCTTCTTCGTGCTTTGTTCGTCTATCAATGCCTAATTTAGTCTACAAACCCATCGATTATTCCCCAGAAAAAGTATTTGATCCTTGTATTCGGCTCTAATTTCTTCAGGAGTTCGCAGTATCAAGTTGTTAGTCTACAGATTCTTGTTCAGGTACATGAATTTGATGAAGGAGGCTTTGCGTTTTATCTGCTCATGTAATTTCTGGAGGATGGCTTTGTTTTGGAACATTGCCCTCCTTTTTTCTTACTTCCAATTGCTTAAAAAGAGTATCTTTGGCTCAAAATCAAGTTCCTCTTCTTGCTCCAAATCCAATCATTCACACACACCTGTTTGTGTTATCACTGGTGTAAGAAGTCACTCTCTTCATTTCCTCGGATTATGTTATGTAGCGTTAGTTTCTGTCTTATATTGTCTGTTTTTGAATTCATTGCAGGCTACTTCGGGACTTGGTAAGGCCACTGCGTTGGCTCTCTCAAGGAAAGGTTTCTACGTTGTTCTTGGTAAAAGACTGTTACTTTGGATCTCCTGTTCGATTATCTCTCGTTGATATGGATACGATAAATAGGAACATGTCTTTTTATCGTATATTCAAAGTGAATTATAAGCAGAGTCTTTCTTGATTTTGCAGTTGGAAGATCATCCCACTTACTATCAAAGGTTTTCTACGGTCCCTTTGATTTTCCTTGTACCAATAGATAGAAGAACCTCCTCTTTCACCTTTGTTCTTGATGCAAGAATCTTTGTGATTGCCACTTTCTGTTGACAGACCTTGAGTGATATTAGGAGGCAGAATGAGGATGCCCAACTCAAAGCTTTTGAAGTTGACATGTCGTCTTTTCAATCAGTTTTTAAGTTCAGAAACTCTCTAGAGCAATGGCTTTTAGATTCAGATTTGCATTCTTCAGTCCAGCTTTTGGTGAACAATGCTGGAATACTGGCAACATCGAGTCGGCCAACCGTTGAAGGCTTTGACAGGTAAGGTTTTCACTATGGTTTCAAAACTTTCAACTCTAAAGGTTACGCTTTCTGTCTCCATATTTGTCAGGATGATGGCTACAAATTATGTCGGCGCTTTTACTTTGACCAAACTTCTCTTACCGCTCCTGAGAAACAGCCTTGTGCCTTCACGAGTTGTGAATGTTACATCTTTTACACATCGGTCTGGTGAGTAGTTTGTCACAATCAATCTGATCGAATGAGTTTCTATATATCCTACGAGGAGAGTAAGATAGATCTTTGTATTTCCTTGGTATTTTTTTTTTCTATGTAGCTTTAACTGGGAGGTTTGATATGGATTCTGTTACTGGGGTGAACTTTTCGAGCTCAAAGCATTATCCTTGTGCTAGAATCTATGAGTATTCTAAATGTAAGGAAAACCCACTCAAAGCATATATGTCTCGCTTTATATCATGATGATGCTGATATAGTTTCTGGTCATATGTGCAAATAGTATGCCTTCTACTTTTCTCATACCAGCTGCATAGACAGCTTCGCCTCACGGATGATTCACATCACGTCTCTGTTGTGTATGCGTCCTAAATACTCATTTCTCTTTACATTATCGCTCACTTATGTGGTCAATACTCTCTACTGTTCATAATTGAAACAGCCAGTCTTAAGTTAAGCAAATTACTATCTTAAACAATTAGGCGCTCTATTATTCTTCTTATGTCTGTAAGTTTTGGGATTATGGCTTACTTATGTTTTTACACTTTTTCTTCTTGTTATGTTGTAGAGCGGTTGATCCAGGAGCAGTAAAAACAAACATAATGCATGAGCTTCCTTCATATATTCAAGTCATTGCGTTTTGTGGTCTCAAGATTCTCGGACTGATGCAGTCTCCAGAGGATGCAGCTGAATCTGTCATTGATGCTGCTGTAGCTCCACCAGTAAGATCTGCTCTTCTGGAATTCTTCATCTTTATGTGGTTGATGAGCTCTATGTTGATCTGTTTTTGCAGGAAATATCAGGCAAATATTTCTTTGGCGGGAGGACCATTGAATCTTCAGCACTTTCCAGTGACCCGAAAATGGCTAAGGAACTTTGGGACACATCATGTCTCATATTTAACGAATTGCAGCAAGCTCACACTTGAAGATCAAAAAGCTTCTAGTTGTTGCTTGCTAACGACATAATCCTAGGATCCAAACTGTATCACATTCTGGTTTCTTGTATAAAACCAGTTTCTGTGTTGTTAGCATATTTCAGTAAAAGGTAGATTCTTCTTTTAAAACTATTTTGTTCAAATTTCTTATTGTTACCAAAATAAAATTTTGGTTAGGGGATTTGTTGTCAACTTTTGAGCCATTCAACTTAAAGTATGATTAGACCAACATTCTGCTTTTAATCCCATTGTGCTGATCAGATGTAAAAGTCTCCTTTTCACATTATAAAACTCACGGAACCGTAGTTTCTGCAATAGACCCTTCGTGAAGGAAGGTATAAAGATATAAACGAATAAACCGAAAGTCATAAATAAAACCAAAGAAGAATATTTCATCTGATAATGCCATCTAAGTTTTAGCTTAAAAAAAAACAGAGCTTATATAAAGAGAAGCATCCACACCAAAATGTTTCATCTTATCGCTAACCAAACCAAGAATCATATTCCCAAATCACAATCCCCTTTTGTGTGTTTCCACTTGCATAAGTGAAAGAGCCAACACAAAGAGAGGACCTTCTTCTTTTTTTGTCCATACTTTTGAGAAGATGCAGGACATGAGAGATCAAACTCCTCCTCAAGGTCAGAATTTTCATCTGTTTCTAATAATAATGAATCAAACTTATTATAGATTTGTAGTACTTACATCTCTTGACAGGATATCCAGCTGCAGAACAAGTATCTGAACAGCCTGGACAGGACAAGAAGAAGAAGAAACCCCGGTTTTTCGAGACAAAGCAGAAAGGAGACAGAGGCTTCATTGAAGGATGGTAAGGCTATATAAGTATCAAACAAAGTCACTATCTTTTCATAGCAACCAAAACAAACTAGCTAATCAGCAAAATCTTTGTTGTTTTGTTTGCTTCTTTCTATGCAGTCTCTTTGCACTATGCTGCTGCTGGATTTGTGAAATGTGTTTCTAAGGAAAGCAATGAACACTACAGTGTGTGACGCTTGCTGCTTCTTCTGTATCTAAGAATGGATTTGCTTATCTAATAGTTATACCTGAGAGAGATTGAAGTTTCAGATTGCTCAATTTCAATCTTCCTAAACTATCTGTGTGGTGTGTTTATTGAAAGAAGATTATTATACTAATAATGTAAAGGATCATCCTATTTTATGGGTGTTGCAAGTTTTTAGATTTGGTCACAGAAGTCCAAAGCAAAAATCTAATATCACACGATTATACAATCAAAATCCAAAATCATACAATGATACAATCAAAATCAACTGCTGCTAAAATATTTATTAATAAAAAACCAAATTTCTCTACACTTGAGAATAATAATATTAGTGTTCACTCATACCCAAAAATTGTCTTTCGAATGGTAAGAAGATTTCTGTACACTGATCATGGGACTAAACCCTGCAAGTAGTTGAAGACGTCAGAAGCATGATGATGAAGCTTCATATGTAGTAAACCTAAATGCTCCTGAGGTTTTCGTAGCTGAAGCCTTCAGATATGGTCCCCAATCTTTCGCGGTCTCCTGTAAAAGAAAACACTAGTGGGGTTACTTACTGGTGTCTCTAGGTCCTGAATGATTCGGCTTTTTGCACTATAGCTGAGATGAGCCAAACACTCAATGAAATCTATAAAACTTGAGAAATAAAAGAAGAGGGACATCATCAACAAAGCTTTGAGTGCTCACCTTGAGGTTCTACCCTTTCACTAGAGTCCAAGAAATTTTCCGCATCAGCCAATAGGAATGGTGATCTATCGTAGCTCTCCAGAATCTCTGGTATTAACAAACAAGTTACCTCTCAATCCAAAACTGCAGTTGCTGTGCGAGTTTATGCACAAGTTTCTGTTTAATATGTGTGTGGTGTGGAGGAGAAAGAACAAAGCATAAATGCAAATGATACCTGAATTCTGGGAAAAACCAGCTGTCAGATCAGAGAGGCTGAAGTTCCGGGGTATGTGTCCTAAGAAGCCAAATGTAGAAGTGTCTGCATCAACAAGATCATTGAGGGATTGGTTGCTGGAATCATTGCTGAAAGATGCAATGGGAGCATCTCCAACTGTGGACTGTGCTTCACCACCATACATGTACGGAGCACAGTTTGAATATGCGGTCTCAGACTTGATCATTCCTTGCATCAAAGGCATATTTGTGGCCTGCACGGAGAGCGAGTTTGGTGGAGGATCAACTCTTCTAGAATGGGTTGAAAATGCCACAGAAGAAGGTATATTTGTGTTATTTGCTGAGCCTCCATTGAGGTATGGACTTGACAGATTAAGAGAGGATTGATCTGAGTCCTTGCGTTCATAGCATAATTGTTGGCGATTCACTGTTGAAAGAAATGACGTTAGTTGCAACATGATAACCTATTCACAACTCATTACTTTCATACAAAAGGATACAAAGAAATTTCCTAAAGACAATTTTCAGCACCTTAATTCCTGAATAAAAAATGTAGTTCAATATGATGAGCTTTCATATAAATAAAAACCAGAAATGAACATATGATAAATCTATAGAAAATGAAATTCGATCTAGTTACAAGCATATCTTACTTGATGGAACATGAGAACCATTCCTGTTTTGGACAGAAGCCCCTCCGGTTGGATGCATCTGGCGCATGTGGTTTATCTGCTGCTCAAGCAGCTTGTTATATTCCATTATCTGGTGCTTCACCATGAGCCTCAGATAATATGCCTTAAAAAATTCGTGGTTCTCTTCTTCAAGCTTCTGCCAAACTGTCAACTCAGAAGGAAAATGTTCTACCATAAGTATCTACTAGAAACCCATAAGTTTAATCGTCAAATATCTAGTGTTTTTAAATAATGTTCTTAACAAGTCAGACTTGCTCCATAAAGTTGTACAGTTATAAATGTGCTTTTGACTAGGGATGTCTTAAAACATGTCACTCTTAACTGAGAGATCAAGAAACCAAATCTAACATTGAACTAAGAGAATTACCCGATCAGGTAATAATTATTTAAAACAAATCCGAGAAGTGATGAGGTTACCTAGTTCTGTAAAACCAGGTTCGATCTTAGCCTGCTCAAGTAGAGTGTCCACAACTTCTTTCTGGTTCATGTAAAGCTGGAGGCATCGTTCAATTAGATTCTGAACCTGCAAAGAAACAATAACAGGCCAGAAAGAATATTATGTCACATATTCTGAAGAAGTTTACACACCCAAGCCAAGCTGACGGTCTTCCTTAATAATTCCAATGTACAGGTAAAACGGCAACAGAAAAAAAAGTGAAGATCTCATGGCTTGAAAAAATATTTCCTTGCTTAAAAGACGACATGAAACTACAATCTTCAACTTACCAAAATAAATGCAAATGAGTAGAAAAAAAAAACACTTTCAAGAGAGAAAAATGAAAACTTTACCAGTTGTATATCTTCACGCGATACCCTTCTCACTGTTAAACTTGACATGGCTGAAATATTTGTAGAAGCGATCCACTTCCTGTCAGAAGATGTAACTAATTCCTGTCAGAAGTATAAGAAACTCTAAAATGTAATTAACTGATAAAAGCATACAATTAAGACACCAAAAATACCAAACATTTAAAATACTAATCTCCTAGTAAACTGCGCTCCGAATTAGAGACCCGGAGCAGATAATACATTATTTTCACAATACATACAGACTATTGAGAAAATTATATATATGAGCATCAACTAATTCATATGCAGAGGATTTATATCCATTAGACCAAAACCACAAACTTAAGCAAACAGATTTGATAAATTGCCTATATAAGACACACTCAAAAGCGTTTGGCCATAAGAAAATCAATAATTATTTTTACTACAAAATTGAAACTTTTTGCGACTAACCGGATAATAACAGCTAACAAAATTATATTAGTCGTTGCAAGCATTTCAAGGTCCCATGAAAAAAGAAAAAAAAAAAGGCGTCGACAGAAGAATCAACAGAGGAAGATGGATTTAAGAGCAGGAACTTAAACAACTCGAAAAACCATAATTTTTTCCCAGAAATTATTGATATCTTGTTTAACGAAAGCTGGATCAAATCAAATCATATTAAAACCATTAACCCAAATAAAATCGAAATTTAAAAAAAAAAAAAAAAAACACGAAAACCAACAGATTAACAAACCGGAAAATATGAAAAAAATAAAAAGAATCGATGAGTGAAGACACAAAAAAGCTCACAGTAGAAGAAGCGGATCAGAGAAACCCTAGCGAAACCTGAAGAAGAAGACTCGAATCCGAAAGCAAATCGTCGATAGAGAAAAGAGAAACCTTTTTTTTTCTTTACTTTTTATATTGTCTCTTTATTTATTTATTTTAATTTTAATATTTGCGGAATTATGAGCAAAGAGAATCAGCCACGTGGATAAATCAGCTAAAGATCTCTAGTTCGAGACTTCGAGACTTCGAGTACTAGCTTCTTCTACTTCATTAACCGCCATAAATAAGTCACATTGACTTCCAACTTTATTTTTTGATAAAATAATTTGCTAGTTTTTAATTTAGTCATTAATTCTTGTTGATTTCCCATTTTAATCACTAATTTTTGTTAACTTTACCAAATAAGCCGCATCGTTAAGTTGACTAACGGAATTGAAATTCTATGTTAAATTACAAAACGATGTTTTGATTAAAAATAAAATTCAAAATGAAACTCGAACCCCTTCAAATATATGGAGTTAAATTTCTTTTGAAAATAGATTTATTTGAGAGGTGAAAGATTTCGTTAGTTAAAGAGGAGTTAAATTTACTCCGTTAATTTTGTTTCGTTAGTCATTTTAATAATGTGATTTATTTGGTAAAGTCAACAAAAGTTAACGATTAAAAATCGAAAATCAATAAACTCATAAAAATTGATTACGTTCTGTATCAGTGTTGGTGGCGAGGACGTTCTGTGAATCGAAGATGAAGGACGGAAGGAGATGGTGTTGATGGCGCTGAAGGAGATGACAAAGATGGTGTTGATGAAGCACGACAGCGAAAGCAAGGATTGTGGTCGGAAAATAGAAAGTGGTGGTTGGAGAACTGCCAAGGATGGAGATGGAGTTCAACAAACATATGAGAAGAGAAGGGTAAATTCATCAATTCTTCCTTTCTTAAAATACCTAAGTCTGTAATCACTCCATTTCCAAAATTTCAGGCCATAAAAGGCCCAAACCAACAATAACCCTCTAGAAATATTATTATATGTGGTCATCTATTCAAACCCTAAGAAAAGAGGACTTTGAAAGATCTAGAAAGTTAGAGCTATTTAGATGATTAATTTATGTTTTCTTTGTCTTGTTTTCAGTTTTCCTCATTAAAGAACAAGACTTTTGGAGAGTTGGGAAGTCGACATTTAAGCTTTTATCGAGTTTCAGAAGCGGATTCGATTTGTGTAGGTTGTTTCGTTTGGTTTTCGACTAAGTTGGTTGGTGTAGTCGTCCCTAGGACTTTGGTGGCCGCAAGCAAAAATATTTTAGGGAAATCTAATTATTGATTTATCAAAAAAAAAATGTATTCAGTGGGAATCGAACCCACGAGCCTCAACACTTACAACAACACACATTAACCAGTAGAGCTGATGACTTTTAAGAACAAATGGCGGTCGTTTATATAAATAAAGGCTTTGACGGCCGCAAGCTGGTGCTTGGCTCGCTTGTAGTCATGGACGGCTTTGGGTGTACTAGCCTTGCTCTATGCTGAGAAGGCATGTACTAGCCTTGCTCTATGTTTTTTTGGTGTGGGGTTGGTTTTAAGAAAATGTAGTGGGATCAATCTTCAATTCTTTTCTTGCGAGGAGGTTGTCAGGTTTGCGTCTGTCTGTTTAAGTTGGTGACATTGATTGGCGTATCCCCTTGTCGGAGTTCAAGGATTTTTCCTTGTGCCTCTATTGTTTTGGTTTCATCAGTTCTTTGGTGTAGCAATTTGGGTTTGCCTCAACAATTTGGATCACTTTTGTTCATGCTTTCATTTCTACATGAGTTGTTTGTTTTGGAGCTCGAATTTGGGTTTCCTTTGGATCATAAATCCGATCCGACTTTCGATGCTTGTTTGTCTGGTTGGTTCTTCTTGGGGCTCTTGTCATTTGTTGTGGCTCCGATGTCTATTGGTTATTTTGGAAGTTTTGTCGGAGTTTTTTTTTGTCCCAGTTTCAGCTTTGTTGTTTTAAGTCCTCTTGGTACCGTTTTCATAATTTTACCTCCATGTTTGTCTCCTCGTTTCTTTGGGGCCTAGATTACTTCTTTTGGGCAATGTTTTCGGAAATATCTTGTATCTTGTATTCGGTGGTTGAGTAAGCCTCATCCAATGTGTTCACTGGTTAACGTTAAATCGCGGTGTTTCTTTCGTATTTCGGAAAAAAATACATTTTAATTTTTACATAGAAACCTAAAAAAAATTTTGAGCAAAAAGAAACCTAAAATTATATAATTAAAAATCTTTATAACATCACTTAAAGTGAAACGGAAAGAATATTTGATATTAAAAGAATTTCAGTTAGTTTGGATCAATTTCACAACAATGTTTGGATTCGACTCGAATAATTCAATATAGAAAATTCTAAGCCTTTCAAGTTATTTCAAAAATTTGGTTCGAGTTCGGATTGATGAATATTGGTTCGGATTTTTTGCCCACCTCTAAAACTTTTTTTCACATTCAGTTTATCTATTTATTTATTTATATAAACTAATAATATATTTGATTAAAAATCGAATATAAAACGAAAACAAAGCCAGGCTATACCCCATTTTGACACCAAAAATTCTCTTTTTGAATTTGAAAAATAAAAGACTAAAAACTAGAAAAATGTCACAAGAGAATCTTTGATGCCCTTAAAAGAATTAAAGAAATAATCCTATATCAATAAACTCCAGAAGTAGTTCTTCTTGGGACTTTTAAGTCCTATATCATACGAAAACCTAAGAATATAAGGTTCCAAATTCGAAATATGAAGACCTGTTTCGTGAGTGAAACAAGTCTTTAAGGTTCACCAAGAAAAGAAAATAAAAGCTACGTGACAAACTCACATTTGGCCCTATAAGGATCTCTTCTAAAAGATCCTATGACAAACTTCAGGGGATACCAGTTCTTGAATCGCTTGGAATCAAGAACACGGTAAAGCGAGTTACATGAAGAACGAAAGAGTGAATTACCTGAAATCACGAGAAACTCCACAACGGTTACGGACTTACAATTATCAACAAGGCCTTCAGCCTGCTAAGAAATCGTCATAGTGGTCATCATCGCTATCGATATGGTTAGCAGCAGAAGAATTAACACGCGATCTCATGCGTTTGATGAGGAAAACATTGTAGTAGTAACTGAGCAGATCCTTCTCACTTTTTCTTGGGAAGGCATTGGAAGCAAATTCCCAAAATCCATCACTACTTGACAAAGGATTCTTTTTTACAAGAGCTTCGAACCTTTGCTCTTCTTTGGCAGTCCACGACTTTAACCCAACTTCTTCACCCATTTCATCAAATTTCCATGTATAGAAAGCACGGTTAATTTCCTTTTCCAAAAGCACTCGTGCTTCTTTAGTGTGTCGTTTTATGCAATTAATTGACTTTGGAGAACCACAAGAACAAGAGTCGGATCTTCCTTCGCCGACTTTTTTGTAGTGAACTGTCTTCTTTAGGCTATATGTTGGCCAAACACCAGTTCCCAGCCATCTTAGAGTATCAGAATCTCCAGGACTACCGTAAAATTTGCCCTTCTTGGTAGGGGCAATCCAAACCGGAATTTCAGCTTGGAACCCCGGACCGATCGGGATAACTGGTCTTGTTTTGTTGGACCCGGGGGTTACATCTTTGGGAGTCTTGTTGCTAATATTTTTAGGGTTTGGTGGGTTTGAATCATCAGCAGGTTGTCGTGAAGAAAAACAGAGATGTGAGGATGGAACAGAGGACTCCGGTTTTTTGCTTTTCTTCTCAAAACTTGAATCACTAGTATTCTCTATAGACTTTCCAGGAGCTGTAGAGACTGCATCATCACTCCAAGGCTGTTCCCGTGTCCATTTGTTCTGGTAAGAGATAGAGATACCGTCAGAGCAACCGAGAAAATGTCTTTGGGCTGGTAAAGAGAGGACTCTTTGGCATTGGCATGCTCATAAGGAGTCACCAATTTTTGTTCGCGTCCCATCCTTTTCATGTTTTTCTGACAAACTCTTGCGAGCTGTCGCAACTCTACTTAAATAAAGTGAATAAAATCTAAAAGTATGGCTATTTTCAAGCATCCATACGCTCAGAGACATAATAGTGCTGCCTTATTGCCTACATATAAACTGGATCTAAAGTCAAAGAATGTCTTACCTTGAAAAACCTGACAGATTCGTGTTTTGCAGCACCACTAGAAGAATCTCCTCTGCCTCTAAAAATCTCTGGAGGCATTGGGAAAAAGTTTTAATTAAATTTTGTTTCCTTTTTCTAAGTCTCTAAATGTACGAGATCAAATCTCTAGCCACTATATTATACAGTAACTTCAACGTTTTATTCACAGAATTTTTTATTGGCACCATGTATCTGGTTCGTGTTTGCCATAGGGAAATACTCGTGGTGGTGACTAGGCTCCAGAAGGAGTTTCCTACAAGCCCAACACGGGTATAGCACTGGCTCATAGACCCATTGATCAGACGGCTCAAGAATAATGTTTACACCCGCGGGGAATAACAACAGACTATCTGCTGAATTTACAGCATAGCCCCAGGTTTCTCCTACCACACGGCTAACCCCATGCAGTTTTTTATCATGTTATATGTACCAAAAATTCATTAAATAGCTCCTTTTCTGACTTACTATCAAAAGACATACCAGATGTTTCAGGAGGGCAGTTGGTCAGTTTCTCAGGAATGGACTCAATGGTGCACACCATTGCTACACTTTCTGATCTATACACATCCCTTGCCCTCTTGACAGCCAAATCAGTCTGGAAAGAGAAAGATTCGCCAGGTAAATTTTCATGGTCACATAATTGAAAGTAAGAAAGCAACAAGTAGGACACAATACAAAAAATAAAACAGTGGACGTCTTCAAATGCATTGTGTAAATGAAGATACAGCATACCTTGCAAGCGATGGATTTGGAGATAATGCTCTCGAATACATCTGGATGCAATACAAAATACTCCGTTAAGTACTCCCGGACTGATTGGTCAACGATTTCCCTGACATATGGATTTCGTAATCTTGTCTTGCAGATATTAAGAGGCAAAATATTAGTGCGAACAATTAATCGAAGAAAGTGGGGAAATATCACAGCTTGCTACACAGATAAGATTGCCAAAGAGGAGGATTAACAATCACTACGATCTTGTGTACCTGAGTTTGACCTTCAAACTCAGGTTTTGGAACAATGACTGAGACAATGCAAGTCAGTCCTTCCATAACATGCTCCTCAGTCAAGATAATATCCTTATCCTGAACAAAATCAGCAACAATAAATCTCACCATCAGTTATACAAAACATTGGAAATGCCTCCCTGACACTGGTAACGTTAAATGCTTAAATGGGAAAGAAAGCTGTAAGTCATTTTATTGTCTTTGAAACTATGGAGATGCTGAGAACTTTTACAACAAAGTCTACATGCTGCAGATGTGAAACTATTCAAATTCACAATCTGTGAAGAGGGGGATATATTGGAAAATGACTCGAACTGGTGATGGCAAAAAATGTTCAAAACCTCGTAGATAGAGAAAGAGAAAGCGTTTCATAGACAAAATTGGTCAGTGATGTTGAATGGTCTTATACCTCAACAAGCATCGACTTCTTCACAAGGCTATTAAGAGTTCTTGTAATTGACGCTTTCACACCATCTATGTGTGTTCCACCATCCATGGTGCGGATGCCATTGGCATATCCCAGTATTTTGTTTGAATATCCATCTACGCACCTGGTACAACAACAAGAAAACAAAACTGGGATCAGATCAATAGGATTTTGTACAGAGTAACTACAACATCAACATACAATAGTAACAAAAAGGGACACACCATTGAAGTGCAATGTCTATGGTGGAACCATTTATCTCTTTTCTGAAACCCAGCACATCGTGAAGCGGTTTCTGAAGAGGTGCAGCCAGTTAGTATTTTTGAAAATAACAGATATAGCTCAACAAAGGTTGACATCGTCCAACATACAAAAGCTTGAGCCAAGTAAACTCTCACCTTATCAGCATTGAGCCAAGTAACAAATTCACTTAAGCCTTTAGCATATAAACATTCTTTATTCGGAGCGTTATCCTCCATTTCCAAAGAAACTGTAACCTGCACACGCTATAAAATATAGAACACTTAGAAAAGGCAATCTCTGTCTCATTCCAAAAAATCATCATGAACCTACAAAACCATCCTTTTAGCTCTTGAAAAATTCAAACAAATATAAGCCTTGATTTGGTGATCTTACCAGTTTAATATTTTGTGGTGGTGATACCCTTCTCACAGTTCCACTGTACATTGCTGAAACTTATGAAACAGATGTTTGTTCCTGGCAAGGAAGAAGCAGTAGAATAGTGTTGATACACAAAAACTTAAGAAGATATGCAACACGACCACAGAACAGAACCACAATCAATTGACTAAGACACTTATATTAGACTACAAGAAATGCAATGCAAGACAACCCTGAAACCAAGGCTAGCTTCAAGAACAAAGATCTCTTGCAGCAACAACATCCATATGAAGCAACAAGAAGACAGTTACTAGTACGTATTTATGAACAATCATTCATTTTGGCCAAAAATCAGGTTTCACAAACCACAAAATCAACAAAAGCTCAGTGACTATAGAAAGAATGAAATTGAAACCCGTCATGTTAATTTTCTGGAAAATCACAACCAAAAATGTATTCACAAACAGAAACAGAGCCAAATCAAAACTGAATTTTTGAAAATGGATTAAAATCGATTTCTAACAAAGAAGAGAAGGACGAATTCGATAATTGTAGATAAATAAAAACCCAGAGAGATCACATCAACCCTATCGGTGTCATCATCGGCACCTTAATCGAATCCGAAAAATACGCGAGAAAATCTCTAAATCGATAGAGAGAAATTAAGCAAAAAAAAAAAAAAAAACTAACCTTACTTTTTTTTATGAACCATCAGCGATAATCATCAGTGATGAATTAAATTTGTGTGTCCATTTCCCAGAAAATTTATCAAACAGTCAAGTTATTTATACGGAGAAGAAGCAAATATATACGACAACTATACCAAAAACACCCAACGATTAACTAAAAAACAAAAACAAAAGAATTTACAAAATGTTTTGCCTCAAAAGATAGATTCAAAAGTTTCAAAAGAACTGATTTGAAAGAATATACAATTTCTCTTTTTACAAAAAGAAGGAAAAAAAAAACAAAAAGAAGAATACATACTGTAGTTTCAACTTTTATATTCATCGTTAATAGATATGATTCAACCTTTTTAATTTTTGAATATTTTACATCAAATGAAAATTATGAATTTGTCTAACAATCAATTTAAAAACGAAAACAGTATGAATTTACTGGTGTTTAGTCAAAATTATTTGTGTTAGTTGTTTAAAACATATTACGATTAGACTCGAGAAAAAATATGAAGAAAAAAAACGATTACAACAAAATTGATCGACAAAGTATTGTTAAGATGTAAGAAATATTCTAGGTTTGAATTTTAAAATCGTGATCTTTTAGTGAATATCTTCTAATTCTTTTTTTTTTGTCAACCACACATTAATTAATAAATAACTTCGTGATATTTTCTAATTCTTATCTATAAAAAACAGATTTTTTAGTAATTATCTTTCCTTAAAATATTAATCTATTAATGCTTAATTGCGAAAAAAGATATTATGATATTTGTTATATAAAAAGGAAAAACTTTTTTACAAGATTTTTTTAAAAAGATTCTCTAAAACTTATGGAAGAAAGAACAATTGGGAAAAGGTAAGAAAAAGAAGAAAAGGAAATGAATCATATTGGAAATTCTCAAATTATGAGAAACCATACAAATCAAAGAGCAAAAGTTCGTTCAGAACCGCTTCATATCACGTATGTAAACAACATTCTCCAGGAATGGCTCTTTTGAGTTTTAATTAATTTCGGATGACAAAAAAAAAAAATACAAATCAAAGAGCATAATGATGGCAAGAGTTTATGAAAATTCTATGAACTTTGACGTAGTATTAGAAACAGGTATGTCTTAAATCAAATCACGATGATAAAGACCGAAACCTATTAGAAACAACCAAAAACTACAACACTACAGAAACAGATCACAAAAAAATATCATAAGGGAAGACTGAAAACTACGGAAACCACCAAAAACTATAACATTACACAAGCAGACAACAAAAAGAAATCACAAGCGAGAATCCCACAAACAAAGATCCAGGAAAAAACACTGATTCTAGAGATCCGGAAAAAAAACACCGATTTTCAAACCGTAAATTGAGTTCGACATAGAAGTTCATGAAGTTTGACATTAAAGATAATAATTTTGTATATCTATGTTGAAATATATAGCCAAAGAAAGAATTTAGTCATACCTTGAGATCTTGTGGTAAAAAATTAGAACAATCTTCTAAAGTTTAGAGTTTGTGTTGCTTTGATGGTTTTCTTCTACTTTAGGGTAGGTAGAAAATAATTTAGAGGGTGCGGTGAGAATATTTATAGTGAAAATCTTAAAACCCTAGAGTAGGCCTGGACAAAATAACCGAACCGGAACCGAAGCAAAAAGAACCGAACCGGAACCGAACCGAAATTTTAAAGTACTCAAATGGCTCCTAAATTTTAGAACCGAAAGAACCGGAACCAGAACCGAACCGAACCGAAATATTTTGGGTACCCGAAAATACCCGAAATATGAGATTATATATAAAAATATTAGTTATTTTTAGATCGAATAACCAAAAATACCTGAAATACCAACAAATATTTGGAAAATACATCAAAAATATCCAAAATACCTAAAAATATCCGAAAGAAAATATCCAAATAGATCAAAAACTTCAGAACCGAAAGAACCGGAACCGAACCGAAATTGTTTGGTTCCTATATGGTTCCTAAACTCTAGAACCGAAAGAACCGGAACGGAACCAGAACCGAACGGGTACCCGAACGTCCAGGCCTACCCTAGAGTATATAAGTTTTCTTTGTTACGTCTACTCGCAATATTTTTAAGTGAATAATCTGTTGTGGGCTTTGCATGGTGGAGCGGTATGCAAGTGATAACATATAAAAATGTTCGATTTGCGAATTTTTGTTATTTTGTAATTATTTCATGGAGACTAAATATAATAATTTACATTTTAAAATACTATGAAGAAAAAAACTAGCAACTTTTGTATAAAATAATTTTATAAACTATTTATATTCAGATTATATTTTATTATTTTATATATATTCTACTTTTATTCAATTAAAACTCATTAAATTATTAGATTAAATAGGCCTAATATTAAAAAAAAAAACTACTTTGGGGCCGATTGGTAACAACTGTTAATTCTCGCTGTAGAGACTTTGACTTTAAGAATTTTCGCTATAGAAACTTTTGAGGTAAAGACTTTGACTGTATATAAATTTTATAATCGATTGGTAAAGACTGTGACTGTAAAAACTACGATTTTAAAGAACTACCAAATATGTGGGAAATGGATCTTAAAAGAACAAGAAAAAATAAATAATTGTAAATCAATTTAAATTTTTCAAAAATTAATTTATTTGTGAATGTTATAAGAGTTTACATACATATGAGAAAAAAAAAAACTGATATTTAACCTAGTTTAATCATAAAATCTAAACTCTAACCCTTTCTAATAAATCCAAATCAATACATAATTTCGTTTAGTGGAAAATTAAATTTTATAATTAAATAATTTTTTTTATTATTATTAGGTGGTAGATTCTGATTGGCTGAATAAAATGAGTGAATATAAAAGTTGGTTGAACCCAAGTATTTTTGATTTTTGTCCTTGGGATCCCAAATATATTGGGCCGAGTGATGGGCCTAATCCCTGTGGCCTTGTTTTAATAAGCGACGGGGATTTGACGCACAAGTCACAAGACTCATATTGTTAAACGAGGTTAATTAATTTTTGTTTTTTTTTTTTTTTTTTACGAGGTTAATTAATTGCTGACAAATGGGTTATTTAAACTAGATAAGTTGGGCCGGGCCTAAAAGGCCTAGAAATCCCGTGAACTGTGAAACCTTTAAGAGGTTTCTCGTAAGCAAACCACATTTGGTGTTTGGTCATATACGATTCCACTATTTTGGCAGATAGTATTTTTTAAGTCACACCGTTAAGTCTGAAGGACAAAAGAAACATGGAGAAGATTTTGTTGGTAAAAGAATTTCAGTAGATGTCAAATTATCGTGTCAAAAATAGCATACATGACCAATGCCAAGTTAGTGGGAAATAAAGGTTGAACTCTACATATTTGTCTCCAAGACCAAGAGGACATGTTAGTCGTCTAGAAACAATTATCAGTTAAAAGAAACAATTATGCTATTATGGTGGAAGCAATCATCAAGGAGCATGATCGATCGAAATAAAATATTTTGCTCATATTAGCTTTGGAATAAAATTTCCAACAGGGCAGATCTCGAATATCTAGTCGATCCATCCTTCTCTTTAACCGGTATCCAAAAGATTCTCTTACCTCTTGAGAAGAAGCACGATCTCATGTCCACAAGGGAAAATAATTTTATGCACATTATTTGAATACTAAAAGTCGAACACCGTGATTTTTTTGTGTAACACATCACACTAAAGTCGAGTTAAAACAACAATAATGTATGAAACTAAAATTTAAAATAACTAATAGTGTGATGTGTTAGAGTTTTATATATATTTTTTTTGTCAATGATCTGCTAGAGTTTGTTTGATTTTTTTTTTTTTTTTTGATAAATGCACTTTACCTAACCACGTTTTTTCCGTTGTATCAAAAGATTTAATACAAAAAATATTATGATCAGAACTTTTAAAAATATTATGAGAGAGAAAGTGTACGTAACCAAAAAAAATTTCATATCAATATTAGTCGTTTTCTTTAAATATATAAACAGACCAAAAGTAAACTCATCAGATATAAAGACCGAGTTACTAAAGAGATTTGGTATTAGGTGTCAAGATATTCACATAAAACAACTTATAGTAAACTCATCACATATAAAACTAGTTTTAAAAACATGGGTAATTGACCAAATTGAATATTGTTGTGGTCTCTTTTTGAGTTCCATACACATAATTTCGAATCTGATTTGTCTTCTTGTATTAATTTAAGTATATGATTGGAGAACATTATTAGGGTAATTAACTAACTAACGCATTATAAATATAAAAGAAAAAACGAGGAAAGTGAAAGGAATCAGAAAAATTGATTGGTTAGAATCAAACAATATAAGCAACGCTGGCAAAATTGTCTTTCTCACGTGGCCTCCACTGATCACACAATGCCACATATCTTGGAAACTCTCTCTGGCAACTTTTTTATTTTCTCTCAATTTGATTACATTTGCTAGATCCGTCGATCAGAATTTTACCTAAATGGTAATATACTAATATCGATCGATAGTTTTTTCTTTTGTCGGTGAGCTTCCATATATTTTTTCGAGGGAATTTCAGTTTGATCATATTATATACTCCATGTAAACCATTAATTGCATTTGTTTCTTTTTTTCATGTGCACTGTTTTGCATTCACTCGCATAAATGTGTCAAACTCTGGTTTTATTTAAAACAAATTTCAAGTAAATAATTCACTTTAATATATTATTGGATCAAGAGACCTGGTGGAGAGAGAAAGCTGTAGAGATATAGTAAAAAAAAATGGAAAATGAATCTCATATTGAAACAGAGTTAGGTACGTTATTTATACAGGACTTACAAGTATAACAGTAAAAATATACATTTTACGTTTATTATATAGCGCAAATAGCTCACCTGATTGAACCTAGAAAAAATGTTTAGAAAGAAGAATATGTCTTGAGCATGAATTTAATAACAGTTTTATCATTTGCTTATTTTTGTTTTGATTAAAACCTGATATTCGTTTAACTAAATCGAGAATGAAACAAAATCGTAAGAATTCAAGTTCTTTGGTACATGCATTAACCTGTCAAATACACTATTAGAGGAAAAACAATCCAGTTTACGATCATAACCCTAACGATTATAAAACAAAATATGGCGATGTGTCGAAAATGAATAAAATATACTTTAGGGATATAAGTAAAGAAATCGAGATTCTAATTTCCTCCATGTGGCAAGATACTATACGACCACCCATCCTCATTGTGAGGAGATGAAACTATTTGTTTTCTCTGTCGCGATCCCCACATGACCTGTTTTTAACGACCGTTATATATTGGTTACTTATTTCCCCCACGTACCGTTAATTCTTTATATAAGTATTCTTTTGTCAAATTTTTTTTTTTTTTTTATATACAGTCTTTGAAATCACTTACATGGATTTTTACAAGAAGTTTCTTTTACCTGATGAAGAATTTTACATAAGGCAATTTTTTTTTTTTTTTAATGTGTGTTTATCGGCAAAATTTGGCCAAATATGTTGGAACTGGACAGTCATTAACAACAATTAAGATATGAAATAATGAACATGGGATGGTTACATTTTAGGAGATTCCCTACGTGTATTTCCAAGATCCAGTAAAAGAATCTGATCTGAGGAATATGACCAAAAGATTTGGAAATATCGACATGACACATGGTTACAATGCGTATACGATCAAATCATTTTTAGAAAACGATATATAGGTATTTTAATAATTAAGATACATATACGATCGATCAACATTATCAATCAGTGAGCTGCCACAATCTTAATTATTTTCATTATTTTTTCACAATAAATAAATAAAAGGGACTAACAAAAAAAAGTTTTTTTTGTTTCCTCGACAAAAAAAGGTTATAAAAGCATAACCCCGAATGAACAATTCTCATCACTACAAACACTTCTTCCTCTGATCATCACATTATTCTCTCTTTTTCTTCTCATATCTCACTCTTCTTCCTTCACGTACCTTCACTTTTCTGTCGACAAAAACCAGTACCCCTTCCAATAACATGGGTCATGAATGGTATTTTTTTCTTTTCAAAAACACAATTTTCACCCAAATTTTATTCTTTTATTCTTAACATATATATTAAGTTTCCACGTTTCTGGAAATCAAATTGTTATATATTATGCACATCTTAAAAATATGGCTAATTCAAACGAAGAATTGTTACTCTTTTTAGTGTTTTATCATAAGTCTAACAAAAAATAATTGCCTACTCGATATTCCTAGACCATGGATATCATGAATAATTGATGAATGAGAGATACTACGTATACATATATAAATATATCTATTAATTGTAATTATTGTACGTTTGATAATAGATCAGGTTGTGACTAATTGAGAATAAATAAAAATGTAGGATCGGTGCAGAGAAGGAGTTCAAATGGAGCGAGGATGTCAAAGTTGAGAGTGAAGTGACTGAAATTGTTCTTGTTCGCCATGGAGAAACCACTTGGAATGCTGCCGGAAGAATCCAGGTATCTATCTATCTACATGCAAACTCGTACGTGTGTATATATGTATGCATAATCGCATATATATGCATGTACATACACACTCATATACATAAAAATTGCCAAATGCAGGGACAAATTGAATCAGATCTTAACGAGGTTGGACAAAAGCAGGCTGTTGCAGTTAAGATCCAATCCCTTTCCATGTCTTTCTTCTAGCTAGTTTCTCTCATACACATTATATTAACCCATGCATGGTCCTTTTTGTGTTTGTTTAAATGATAAATAGATCGCTGAGAGATTGGGAAAAGAGGAAAGACCCGTAGCTGTGTATTCATCAGACCTCAAACGAGCCAAAGACACTGCTCTTATGATCGCCAAAACTTGTTTTTGTCCCGAGGTATGTCTTAATTAAATATTTCTCTATAAACACTAAGCATATATAAAAATCGTGAATAAGTCACATATGTATGGTGTAATTCATAAAGGGATAAATATGTTATCAGGTGATTGAAGTACCTGACTTAAAGGAGAGGCACGTGGGTAGTCTTCAAGGGCTGTATTGGAAAGAAGGAGCAGAGAAAGAACCTGAAGCTTACTCTGCCTTTTTCTCTTCCCAAAATGACCTCGAGATTCCGGTAAATTAAGCTATATTCATACTAATTTATTACTCCTTAATTTCTCTATTTTCCATTTACTTAACAATATCTATGTTTGATGTGGGATGCATATTTATAAACCAAAAGGGAGGAGGAGAGAGCTTTGACCAACTTTGTGATAGATCCATGAATGCTCTTGAGCAAATTGCAAAGAAGCACAAAGGTATCTATCCATCTACACATTAAATTCGATATTAGATGATGATTAAGTATTATGTCGAGATTCCAAAATATACAATTTAGAATTTGTTTCTACCAATTGATGATTTTTATCATTTTTCCTAAGTTATTAAGATGTACAAAATGGATTAAACTTAATAACGTTGCATATGTGGAATTGAAGGGGAGAGAGTGATAGTGGTGACTCATGGAGGAGTGTTGAGGGCAATTTACTTGAGGATCACACAAGCTTCCTCTGCAGGAAAACTCCTAAATGCTTCAGTGAATGTTGTTCACCGCCGTGACGAGAAATGGATAATCGATTCGTGGAGCGATGTTTCACATCTCTCTTCCGTTGGATTTCTCCAACGTGGCTTTGATGGAGACGCCAAAGCCTAGGGAACCTCCTCATTCATATCTTATGTCGATCTATCAAAGGCTCTATAAATATTCTATCCATTTAAAGTGATGTTTCTGTGTGTTTTTCTTAAAATGTGTCATCGATGTTCTTGTGGATCAGTACGTATATTCTTGTATTTTGTACTACTCTATTAATAAAATATCTTCGTATCTCTCTACTTGTGATACTATCGCCAACTTATAACCACTCTGATTTTAATTTTGGTTTTGATTTTTGAGGCAAAAACACGAAGGTTAAAGCAAAGATAAACAAAAAAAGAGTTACAATGGAGAAAGCCTGCGAATGCATTTTGGAATACCATAAACTTTTTGTACAGTCACAATTGTAACAGTGGTAACTTTTTCTAGGCCTGAGAAAGAACAAAACATGTTGGCCTTTGACAAATATATAATCTAATGCCCCTTACCAGATGAAGAAACTGTAGACACCAATCTCAAGCGGTTTCCTGTTATATGTCGAGACGCTGCAGATTGATCCTAGTTGCTGCATTTTTGATGAGTTCTTTCCGGACATCGACCTGAGATTTAAAAAAACGGTAGTAGCTCAATCAAATTGCAGTTAAGCTTGTGATTATGTCTGTTTATGACCCCAAAAACAAGACAATGGAGTCGGAAATTTGATGGCTTACCCGAGCACCCATAAGAGATGAGAATGTCATGTTTGCTTCCGCTATATCATCGACCACAAGTTGCTTTAATATCCTTGTTTCTGGATTCATTGTTGTTTCCCAAAGCTGTTCAGGCATCATCTCTCCCAAACCTGCAAAACCAGAACACGAAAAACAGAACGAGTTTCCTTAGTTTGCCACTTTCCTCTCAATACGTTTTGGTATTGGACGCTAAAGATTTTAAAACTTTCCTCTTAGCAATAATATCTAGGGTTGAATAGAATCAGGAAGTAAACTCTAAATTTTGGTTGTGTAAAGACTCAGCCTAACTAGTTCTTAACCATGAGAAGCTACTGTAATTTAACTTTCTCGAATTATGTATACAAATGGATCCCAACAAGTGCCCCTCGTCACACTTTTATCATATGAGAAGCCAGACAACGTAGATCACTAAGTTCAAATATTTACCTTTGAACCTCTGAATGTTGTAGGATGCGTTTGCAGGGAAATTACTGGTGATCTTTTTGAGGTCTGCATCATCATAGCAATAATCTGCATTTTTCCCCCTTTCAACCTGATCGTTTTCATAGTTTTTGTTAGAAATTCCTAAATCTAAAGCATTAAAGTTCCGAAGATCATAACATATAAAATTTACCTTGAATAGAGGAGGAACACCGACATATATGCAACCCGCATCAAACAAGGCTCTCTGTGGGAAAGAAATATTAAGTCAAGTTTACAACTAGATTAACTCTGCCAACTATTTAGGGGATATTTTTGTTTAATCCTAAACTAATACCTGATATCTGAAGAAAAAGGTCAACAGAAGTGTCCGGATATGTGCACCATCAACATCTGCATCTGTTAAGATGATTATCTTATGGTACCGCAAATTTTCTTTCTTAAAGTCTTCTCCCTGAAACAAGTTATTTATTGCACTGAGTTTTCCAAAAAATCAAAAAAAAAAATGAGAAGAAGAAAAACAAGAGATGGAAAAGGGATATATCACCTTCACACCGAGGCCAAGGCCAAGAATTAGATTTTGTATTTCTTCATTCTTATACATGGCTGCTTCATCCTTTCTTTCAATGTTTAGAATTTTACCTCTCAAGGGAAGAATTGCCTACAAAAACCAAAACCTGTTGAATAATCTCTCAAAGGAAGAATTGCCTTTCAAGCTGTACATACTCCAATTTCACAGAAAATACAATGTCTTTGGCTGGTAAAGAGAAGAGTCCTAGTATTGATTAGTCTAATCCTAGCCTTATTGTTCGGAAATCAAATGTAGGTTCTTTCAAGGATGGATCAACAATTAAAAAAAAAACCCTAACCATCTCCCTTCTTGGATAGTGACACAATGAAACAGGGGTAGAACTGTGGTTACCTGAAAACGTCTGTCACGGCCCTGTTTCGCACTGCCACCAGCAGAATCTCCTTCGACTATAAAAATCTCTGCAGAGATTCCAAAGGAATGTCACTACTCACTACTTGAATTAGCATGGCTAATGGCTTACAGGTTGTAATCATTGTAGCCACATAATTAAAGCATATGATTTCCTTTTTTTAACTTCTCACTTGGAATATACAGTAAGAAGATCAGATCCTTTCTGTCATGTTTAGCTTTAATCAATTAAACAAACAACATTTTAATGCTGGCCAACATACCAGATTCTTCAGGATCTGTTGATGAGCAATCAGCCAGTTTCCCAGGAAGTGATGATGACTTCAAAACGCTCTTCGACCTGACCAACTCCCTTGCCCTCTTGGCAGCCAAAGCAGCCTAGAGAGAGAAAGCGTGGTGAGGCATATTTTCATGATAATTTGGTTGAATGTTAGCAACTGACACATTAATTATAAGCAGAGGAGGGGATAGATAACATGAAGGACGTTGAAAGCAATACTTTAAATCATATGAACGATAGCCAATTACAGACTGCTGTACCCGATCTTGTGGGTTGAAACATACATTTGGTGCATGCTTGTAGATGAAGATACAGAAGTATTGATATGTGCATTCAAAAACCTACCTTGTAAGCGTTAAGGGATTTGGAAATAATGCTCTCAAGAACATCTGGATGCAATTCCAAAAACTCTGTGAGATACTCCTGAACTGATTGGTCAACAATTTTTCTCACCTCTGGATTTCCTAATCTTGTCTGCAAGGTGGAAGTGGGATTAGTAGACAAATTCTATTAGTTGGGGTAAATTTCCACAAATGAGACAGAAAAAATTGCCTCATGTTGACCAAAGATAACTACTAAAGAGGCAAACATTATCACGTACCTTTGTTTGACCTTCAAACTCGGGATTAGGAACCTTGACTGAGACAATACAGGTCAATCCCTCTCTAACATGTTCCCCACTTAAGCTAATATCCTTCTCCTGAAAACACAGCCAAAAATATAAAATAATTAGAAACATACAAAGAAAGGACATTGAGGAAGTACAATGTTTATTGTCTGTACAAGCAGGTAGGAATTAAGAACGATTTACAGTAGAGCCTACTACACTTTATATGTACATATTCAAATTCAGTCCAGTCCACAAAGAGGAGAAGATAGTCGGAGAAGCCCATGAAATTATGAAGAACATCTCAGAGTACTTATCAATTAAACTATGATCATGAAAACAGTACTTGGAAAAGCCCATAAGATTTTTTTAAACGAGGGGAGAAAAGATAATGGAAAAAAGGATCGAAACCACGTGAAAATGAAAATAAAAATAGCCACATAAGCTAAGCTGGTTACTGATGTCATACCTTAACAGTCTTTGACTTTTTTGCAAGGGTATTAAGAGTCCTTGTTAATGAAGCTTTCACACCTTCGATATGTGTTCCACCATCAATAGTGCGAATGCTATTGGCATATCCCAGCATTGTGTCTGAATATGCATCTGAGCACCTGGTACAAAAATGTATGTGCCAAGCCAATAAGATCAGATCCATTCAGAATAGTCATATATTATGTGTATTCTTGTGTAAAACAAACTACAGCATGTCGAGAATAACATGAACAAAGGCTTACCACTTTTATTGATACAATTTACAGATGAGTAAAACCAAAATCATGCAGCCAAACTGTTCAATTTAGTGGTTTGGTAAACCCAGGCATATTACCTCTAACAGAATATTAGTTGGATAATATAATCATGCATATAGGAGTAACATACCATTGAAGGGCAACGTCCACGGTGGCACCATTTATCTCTCTCCTGAAACCCAGCACGTCATGAATTGGATTCTACACAAAAAAAGATTGTCAGTTAACCTTTTCAAGTAAACGTAGGTCCGAGGAATAAGAAAGTAAAAATGGAGATACTAATGCTAAGAGTTCACTTCTGTATAAATTGAGTTCATAAGTTCATAGACATGCTGGAGTAGATCCCTTGATAGCAATCAACTAATCAAAAGTAATGCTCAACATATCTTGCTCACTTAAGTTAGCAGAGAAAGACATTCATTGACACCACTGCATTGCATATCGTTTCACAGAATCTTTTCAAAATTTTAGTCATCTTAGCCTACTTTAATAAAGAATCTGATAGGCTTCATATACACCAAACGTGATTTCAGTGTGTAGATTCTCACCTTATCAGTATTTAGCCAACTCACATATTCAGTTAATCCTCCAGCAAAAAAATATTCACTATATTGGTTCTTTTCAGGATCATCATCCTCTTTCTTTAAAGAGATGGTAACCTGCAAACATAGAAATAGAGTAATTTGTTATGACAAAAGAATCATTCAACAGCAGCCTATGCCAAAAGTGAAGATGCTCCATGAAGTAAACTATAATAAATTCTCATGTCTGGATGAAAAATCGTCATGGTTGACCATGCTTTAAGTAAAGTAATTTCACCTTTGGATTCAGAAATGCAAGCTCCCTAATTCGTCCAGCAATGGTGTTATGGTCGAACTCGATTGCAGTTGTGAATACTGAAAAATAGTTCATTCCATAAAGGAAAAATTAATCATCGAAACCAGTTTTGGCGAATGTAAGGTAGTGAAGAGTGGAAAACAGGCAAAACCTTCTTTGTCAGGCCAAAACCTGATGCTTGTCCCTTTAGTCCCCCCTGACTCTAACGGGAGGACACGACATGTAAGTGTAGTTATGGGCTTTCCACGAGAATAATTTTGCTTATGCTCCATCCCATCTCTCCAAACCGTGACCTCCAGAGCCTGCAAAACAATAGATCAAAGAATCTTCTAAGTTAGCTATACTAATAATTATAATCATCAGCTAGGTTAAACTTCAAGTCATTCTAAACAAATGTCCTGCAGTTTTGTGGTGGAAGAGTATTTGACAACAACATGCCCTAGAATTCAATAAGGAAACATTCCAGCTTTTTACTCGTAACAATCCCATAGTAGCCTAGGGTTTCATAAATCACTGAAGGGGAGATATAGAGAAAAAGGTTATTTCCAAAAGGAAAGAAGAGGCAATGTGAGTAAAGATTAGAACACACCTCAGACAAAGCATTTACTACTGATAAACCTACACCATGTAATCCACCAGACACACTGTAGCCACTACTCGTGCCACCAAA